AATACAAGTTGACTGGGAAGGCTTAGAGTAAGAACTTTTGCCTACAGGTTTAGGGTATAGTGATTAACGTATCATAATAACATTTAGAAAGAAAATATAGCAATTATGAAACCAAATAATCAATTAGAACTAATTGCAATGTCTCAAATGCACTAAAATCTTTAAACAAATGGAAAATCTAAAGGAAAATGGTGTAAACTTCAGATATTAAGTACTAACTTAAAATGCATTTTAATGTTTCCTATTTCATGGCTTTTTACACTTATAATTTGTCATTTTTTTAAGATGGATTTTTCTTTATATAATATATATATATCTCCAACTTGGAATATATTTTATCATGTGACATACTTTCTGAAATTGTCTTACTAATAGATGGTTTGGACAGTCCTACTAAGGACAAATCAGACCAGGACCTGGGGTAAGGCAGAGAAGAAGGGATGTTGTTTGTGGCTATCTAAAAGAATAGCTGAGGAGGTCAAGCACTATGGACAGCTTTGCTCTGAATTGAGGCACCAAAAGGCTGCACAAGAACCATAGTTAAGTATCTTTGAATAAGTATAGCTGTCATGCACTAAGTGCTTATCATCTGCCTGGTACTGCTCAGAAGTTTCATCTATTTTTATCTCATTTAATCTGTATAACATCTCTGAGAGGTAGGTATTATTTTGTCCCTGCAGAAACTGAGATTCAGAGAGACTAAGTAACCTACTGAAGGTTAGCTATTAAAAAAACCTAGCTACTATTCAAATCTATTCTTCCATGATCCAAAGTGTCCTCTTGAAGGACAAACCTAAAAGAAATTCCTATTTTATTTATTCAAGAGTGTCTTTCTTATGTAAATATGGAAGATGTCCAAAAAAATAAGGAGTTCCTCTTCTGCACTGTTGGTGGGAGTGCAAACTGGTCCAACCACTGTGGAGAGCTGTGTGGAGATTTCTGGACCTACTAAACATAGAGCTTCCATATGATCCAGCAATTCCACTCCTAGGTATTTACCCAAAGGACACAGAAACATCAATTCCAAAGAACACCTGCACCCCTATGTTTATAGCAGCACTGTTTACAATAGCTAAGCTTTGGAAACAACCCAAATGCCCAAAAATAGATGACTGGATCAAGAAGATGTGGTACATATATACCATGGAATATTACTCAGCATTCAAAAAAGATAAACACATGCAATTTGCAGCATCATGGATGGCACTGGAAGGGATCATGCTCAGCGAAATAAGCCAAAAAGACAAAGAAAAATACCGGATGGTCTCACTCATAGCAGGAATCTAGAAAACTTAAATAAGGGACCAGGAAAATGAATAACTATAAGAAAGTGAAAATCAAAATCAACAAAAAACTATGAACCAGAGACACTTTTAGGGGGGCGGGGGCGGGAGGGGAGGGATTGGGGTCAGAATGGGGGGGCTGCAATTGTATGGGGAATATAAAAATAAAATTTATTATTTAAAAAAAAAAAATGAGTTCCAAAATTAAAAATTTAGAATCAAATTTGCATATAGTAGATACTCTAAAAATATTTATTAAATCTCTGATGAGTTTAGGAATTAATCATATAGTTTTACAGTGATGTAATAGGAATACATTTTACTCCTCAGCATTTTTACCAAAACCCTATGTCAGTAACAAATTCCTAAAACTTTAAAATTTACCCCATTTTCTAATTCATAAGTTAACTTCTTACAATTTTATATATGGATACCTGAGACTAAACTCTCAAACATGTCCTCTTTTTTTTTCACTTGCTTCAGCAGTGAAACCACCAAACAAATCAAGGAAGTTTGGGTTTCTTGGAATGGCTGGTGTATATCTTGCATGTGAAAAGGATATGAATTTTCAAAGGCCAGGGACAGAATGCTGTCCCTATGATCCCTCTAAGTTGAAATGTTTAAACCTAATGCCAAACATGGTAGGAGGCAGTCTTTGGAAAGTGATGGGACTAGTGTCTTATAAAGAGAGTCCAGGAATAACCCTGGTCCTTCCCACCATCTGAGATCATGGGCAAAAATATGATAATTTGCCCTCCTGACTGAAAAGGGGAAGAACAGAGGCTCTATACCATACTACAAAGCCGTAATAACAAAACAGCATGGAACTGTAACAAAAAACATGTGCACAGGCCAGTGGAATTGAAAACCCAGAAATAAATTTATACATATATGGTCAACTAATTTATGACAAAAGAACAAAGAATACACACTGGAACAAGGAAAGTCTTTTTCATAAATGATGCTGGGAAAAATGGGCTGCCACATGCAAAAAAATGAAACTAGACCACCATCTCACACCACACACAAAAATCAACTCAACACAATGGAATACTATTCAGCAATCAAAAAAGATATACTCATGTCATTTTCAGCAACATGGATGGAGCTAGAAGGGATTATGCTCAGTGAAGTAAGTCAGTAGGAAAAAAAAATACTGGATGTTTTCACTTATAGGAGGAAGATAAGGGATCAAAAACAAGGGATCAAAAAAAAAGGCAAAACTAACAGTCAAACTATACATCAGAGACATTCAGAAGGGTAGGTGGAGGGAGAGGAATCAAAACAGGGACAGGGAAGAGCACAAGAGACTATGGTGACAGTTCAGAGATATCTTGGTGGTGTTAACTTTATGGGGATTACACTTGAGAGGAGAAATCAAACTTGTACAAAAATGAACAATGTAAAAATATATAATTTTTTTTAAAGTAGAAAAAAGTAGATAAAAGACTTGGCGGTAAGATGGAAACCATGAGATATACACTAGAAAAAGTAGGCAAAGCACTCCATGACATATACTTTAGAAACATCTAGGAGGACTAATCTTTAGAAGCAAGGAAAACAAAGATAAAGATAAATATAAACAACTGGGACTACATCAAACTAAAATGCTTCTGTACAGCAAATGAGACAGGAACCAGACAAAGAGATACCCTACTGAATGGGAGAAAATATTTGCACACCATACATCTGATAAGAGACTGATATCAAAGATCTACAAAAGCTTGCACAATTCAAGAAAAATAAACAACTCAATCAAAAATTGAAGCTAAAGAGCTAAAAAGACAGTCTCCAGAGAACAAATGCAAATAGCCAACAAGCATATGAAAAAATGTGCAACATCACTTATTATCAGAGAAATACAAATCAAAATGACAATGAGATGCCACCTCACATCTGTGAGAATGGTTCATATCAATAAAAAACAGAAACAAGAAATGCTGGCAAGGATGTGGTGAAAAAAGAACCCTCTTACACTGCTGGTGGTAATGTAAACTGGTCCAATCACTATGGAAAGCTATGTGGAGGTACCTCAAAACACTAAAAATGGATCTACTATATGACCCAGCAACTTCAATTCTAGGAATCTACCCAAACAACACAAAAACACTAATTCAAAAGGAAACTTGCACTCCTATGTTTATTGCAGCTCTGCTTACAATAGCCAAGATATGGAAACAACCTACATGCAATATAAAAAATATAAAAATTAAAAAAAGGGAAAAAAAAGAATCTATGTATATGCACAATGGAATACTATTCAGTAATCAAAAAAGATAAACTCATGCCATTTGTGGCAACTTGGATGGAGCTAGAAGGGGTTATGCTAAGTGAAATAAAGCAGAAGGAAAAAAAAATATTGATGGTTTCATTTATACGTGGAATACAGAGAAACCAAACAAAGGATAGGGAAAATCACAAAACTTGCAAGCTGACCATAGATCTGAGGCTTATAACAGGGGAAGGGAGTGACAGGGGTCAAACAAACTATGGTGCTCCTACCATAGCTCTTTTTTCCATTTTTTGATTGAGTTTTTTGCTTTGTTTTTCTTGAATTGTGCAAGTTCTTTGTAGATCTTTTTTTTTTAATACTTTTTTTTTAAAGATTATTTATTTATTTATTTATACAAGCACCAGGTACAGTCAGAAGTGCGGGAGGGTGAGAGAATTCACCAGAGCCAGAGCAGGAAGCAGAGCAGGCAGAAGGACCGAAGTACACTGCTAAGCGGAGCAGCGGGTGGCATGAGAGGTCTTCGCGCCATGTGGGACCCTCCTCCAGTAGCCAGGGAGTTGCCAGGGATTGAACCGGCGCTGCAGAGGCTGCAGGCAGCTTCGCAATCCAGCGCTCAACCGCTGTGCCACTGGGGAGGCCCTCTTTGTAGATCTTTGATATCAGTCCCTTATCAGATGTATGGTGTGCTATGGTGTAGTCCCACTATAGGGACTACATCTGAGGGGAGAAATCAAATACTGTCCAAAAATTAACAACAATATAAGAAAACCAATATAAAAAACAAAACAAACAGATGATCATCTAGGAAACAGGAAGCAGGCCTCACCAGACACTGAATCTGCTGGCACACTGACCTTGGACTTTCCAGCCTCCAGAACTGTGAGAAAGAAATATCTGTTGTTTGTAAGCCACCCTGTCTAGAATATTCTCTTATAGCAAGTTGGATGTTTTAGACATTGGGAAAACAAGCAATTTGTCCAAAAGCTGGAGTTAAGATTTAAAGTGAGGTCTGTTTGTATGAATGTTCACTACGAAAAGGAAACATACATACAATGTTTAAGAAGTCAGTAAAGAATAAAGAGATAAATTTGGGCTCGCAGCAGGAAGAACAGAAAAGATCACAGAAGATCTCCATTTTTTCTTGCCTAATTAAGCTTTTATAATTATATATATAAAAAAAATTACAAAGCTAACAAATGAAAGGACTACTCCTTTATAAAAATGTCACCCACATAAACTTAGAAATTCAAGTATGTAAGATTCCCCAATAGAGTAATAACAAACATCTGCTTTCACTGCACTTATTAAAGGGAAAGCAAGAAAATAATTTGTCGATTTTATATCAAGCTATGTGTAGGTCATCCAACTTTACTAAGAATTCAACATATTTGAGTCATGAATATTTAAAATAAAAACACTAAACTTAATTGAAGAATGTTAACTGATCTCAAGCAATGGGGGAGGGTGTAAAAGAAATCAATTACCTGCTGTAACTTCCTTGCTTAGCGACCTTGGCCAGGGAGAAAATGCAGTCAAGAGTTGCCAGGTGATGTACTGCTTTACACAGGGAATAATAATGTTCACCAAAATTCCTACAGAAGCGGTAACAACATAGAAGTGATCAAATTGATTATTCAGAGCTGTAAAAGTTATATAACAAGTTATCACTTTATCAGCTACAGTGAGCACACTATAAAAGAACCAGGCATAACCAGCAATTCAGGGAGATGGAAATTTTACTGATTTTCTGTTTAATAACTTGATTAATGAAGCTTCTGTTGTTTCATTTGAATAGAATTATATACATCTAAAACAGCTTCTATACAAAGATATCTACTATTAATACCACATTGCACATTTCATCTGACCATGACATTTCAACTTAGACATAATTAACACAAATGAGGTAAACATTTCCATTCAGCTTAAAGAACACCATGAACTACCCAGATGAGTTAGCTTCCCTTTGTGCTTCTCCTTCATAGCATATCCAAACTAGAAAAAAAACAGTTTTAATATCTTTCTCTCATACTGAATTGGAACTTCTCAATGGGAGGGCACTTGTCTGACTTACCCATCAGTTAGTATCAGTTAATAGTCCTAACATCTACTTAGTAACCTTGGCATTGACTAGACATTGTACTATTTTTGTTAGAGACAAGCAAGAAGAAAAGTACTTTTGTCTGTAATCTCTAATTATCTTATTAATAATATAAACAGAAGTAACATTTTACATTTGTTTTTAAAAAGATAAAAGCAATACCTCAAATCTTTGGCTATGTAAACAGCTGTGATGTGAAAGCTTAAAAACTCTTTTACTCAAAGATTTACTCAGAAAAAGCATACAATTGCATGCAGGTGTTTTCCTTTCCCTTTTTTCTTTTTAGCTTATTCTATTATTTTACACCACATGTAGCCCTTACAGACTTTTAACGTAGATCCCCTGCCAAAGAACGTTATACTGAATACTTCTCTTTAAAAAGATTTCCCTATTATACTGTGGTTTTCAGAAATTTTGAGATTTAGTCTGTTTGCTTTTATTTTTTGAACTAGTTTAACAGCTTATGACAAAGGACATAACTCAGGAACAGCCAGAAGGAAGAGAAGCAGAGAGCAAGATATGAGGAAAGGATATAGAATTTCCAATCTCTCTTCAAGTGCTCCACTCCCCCCAAATATCCCAGTCTTTTTCTTCTTAAATCTAAAGGTTTACAGAGTACTTCCTACCAAGATAAATATACTTAGACTTAACTAACACATGACTGTTCAGGTATTGCTAAATTATCACTATATTAGTTTTTTAAAAATGTAATATGCATTTTCTAGTATTATTAGAATAAGGTAGTCTATGTAAATGGCTTTTTCAGATGACAGAAACATCATTTTAGGTATACAGATTTCTGTGTTAACTATTTGTGAACTGAAAAATATATTTACAGTGTATTTTATACTTGAGTAGACAGAGTATAATTAATATACTTTACCTATTTCTCACTATTCATCAAAAGAAACAACACAAAAACCACTAACAGAGTTAAGAGTCTGTGCAAAATCCCATACACAAAGGAGCTGGCCCCTGGAATTACACAGGCAGCAGGCACTCAGTTGTTTAAAAATGCTTCCTAGTTTTGAAGATGCCACATTCTTCATGGATCTAAGACTCCTGAATGGTTATCCAGTGATAGTCATTCCTGGTCTGATTTCAATTTTTATCCAACCATTCACTTACCTCTGGAACTGAGGTCTGTGCTGTTCCCATTCTAATTATTGACCCATCTTCCTATACTGGCACTTTGTTTTATCAGAGACCAGCCATATTTGTGTTTTTACTGTTTCCTCTGTAGATATGTCAAAGCACCTTTGGCACTAAAAACAGTCCATTTTTCTTTTTCTTACTCCCTCCTTCTCAGTCCCTGTCTAAGTGACCATGACCCTTATTTGCTGCTACTCAGCAGTCTTGGGTTGAGGGTAAACTGTGGCTAAAATTCTCTATTTCTAGGATGAAAATGAGTGATATAACTCTCAGTGGATACCACATCAGTTAAAAAATCAGGGAAGGGTAAGGTAATTATTTCGATACAGATAAGATGTTCTTATGTCAATCATATAAACAAGTCATGTGAACAAAATAAGGAACACTCATTGTCCTTAAATATCATAACTCCTATAAAAGTATTGTTTCACTTCTTGGTCTTTGTCCATTGCTATATTTTGTCAAGTTTCAAAGAAATTACCCATACTTAGAACAATAACATATTGGAAAATGTGTAATTCAGTTAACAATCTGACAGACTAGGTTTATGTCATAACAACAAGCAACTTTATCCATAAGCCACCAATCAACTTAAGGATGAAGCAAGAGTACTATGGCTTAAATCCTGCCCAAAAGGTATTGTTGGGTCCATGCAAAACAGGCTAAGACACTAGGGTTCTAAAGCTATAACAGCCAGAGAAGTTTACCATCACATGGTACTCAATGATATGAAGGTAATCAAGTAAAAAATACTTTCTTTTTTATTTTCAAATACACTTCTAAAATATTTGTACTGTATGAAAGGTATTGTAATTCAATTTTTAAAAGAATTTGCAAATGAGACAGCCACTGCCTGTCTTCTAGAACATAAGATACATGAGCTTTAAGAGAGGGTTCCATTTACCAACCTTTTAACAGCCTTGATTTCTCACAATATTTTGATCAAAAGTAATATGACTAATGCATAGCAGTTAGCATCCCAGTAAAGGACAAACAGACTTGAATAGTCAGTAGTCAATCTTCTGATGTCAGGTTCATTGAGGTTAAAAATTTTTTTTCAGTTACATCATATTCGACCATCTGGCACCTCAAAAAACAGTGTGCATAACAATCAATGCTGTTCTCAAGTGGGGCTCTTGCAGCAAATGCTCTATCTAAATCTTAGCCAATATACTTTTTTTTAGATAAAAACTTTAGTATTTAAGTAAAATCTTTTTTACATTGAAACATAGAAACTTTTGAAATTATGTATTTGCAAAGTAAAGTAAAATTTCTAGTAACCTCACTATCTAGAAACAGTTAATATTTAAGACTATATATATTTATGATATCTACATCATGTCATATATGTCTATATCAGCAGTTATTTCTCTAAAGATACACAAATGGCCAGTAAGCTTATTAGTAAGCATATATAATTGAATCTTTAAAAAGATTTATATGCTATTCATGTGTGAAAACTTAGACATTCAGAACTATAGCATCATCTTCTTCATTTAGTAGCATATTATGAATATATTCTTCTGTAATATATATACTGTAAGCTTACTTTCACCAACTCTCAACTACAGCAAAGCAATGATCTGATGAAAGCAGAATTCTCCTAGCTTAATTTGGTAGGTGGTCTCAGGCAGATTACAGTAAGAATATGTTAGGGGCCTCCCCGGTGGCACACGGTTGAGCGCTGGGTTGCAAAGCTGCCCGCTGCCTCTGTAGTGCCAGTTCGATCCCCAGCTGCTCCCCAGCCACCAGAGGAGGGTCCCGCATGGAGCGCAGACCTCTCCTGCCGCCCGCTGCTCCCCTCAGCAGTGTACTTCAGTCCTTCTGCCTGCTCTGCTCCCCGCTCTGGCTCTGGTGAATTCTTTCACCCTCCCATGCTTCTGACTGTACCCAGTGCTTGTATAAATAAATAAATCTTTAAAAAAAAAAAAAAAGAATATGTTAGCATGTGGGATGCCAGAAGAGAACAAAAGGGGTAAATCAAAGCTATATTGTAAAAGAAAAAACAAACAAACAAACAAAAAGGAAAAAAAATCAGGGAATACCAAAATTTATAGATTGGGAAACCTGAACTTTCTTTAATCCAGAATAATGACAGGGAGAACATAATCCAGATCCATAAACTCATGCATACCTATGAATAGTGTGACTATGAAATTACCTCACCAAATCCAGCATTCTAAAATATAGCCCCTGAATTTTGAAGGAAGACATTCTAATCTATTAATAGTTTTTTGGTCTCAGTGATGCTACTAAGAGAAAAGCTAAAAGAACTGAAAGACTCAAGGGCTCTAAAAACCCTTAAAATTGGAATACAAGTAAATTAGAAAAAGAGCTGAATACCCCAAATTTCTACCCCTGGATTCAGGACTCTGAGGTAACATAATCTCAAAGATTCTTTAGTAAAATTGGAATCTCTTTTTTATCTCAAAATTCAAGATTCTAAGCAAAAAGAGATGGCACTACTTTTTAAAAATGCTCTCATATCTTTTTCTTTTCACTTCTATGATCGACTAATTTAAATAAAGTTCCCTGATGAATTTCACTAAATATTTACTGTTTAAGTTTTTTTTAATTAAAGATTTATTTTTTATTGATACAACAGCTGGAGTACAGGCCAGAGGCGCAGGAGGGTGAGAGGATGCACCAGAGACAGAATGGGGAACAGAACAGGCAGACAGCCTGAAAGAACTGCTGAGGGGAGCAGCGGGTGTGACAGGAGAGGTCTGCCACACCACTGTTTAAGTTTTTAAAGAAAAGGCCTAGCTTAGATTTCTGTGGAGAATGATACCTATGGTTTCATTATGAGCAGGCACTAGAGACTGATGATAAAGGACACACACCCTACTGAGAGACACCCCGGGTGGGGTCTGGCCTCCCATCCTTTTCCTTAATGTGAACTACTTACTCACTTCTGCATTTCACTTTATTCATCTGTAAATTGGAAATGATACAAGGCTCTTGTAAGGTACATGAGCTAATATATACAAAGTGCTTAAATGTGTTACGGTCTGGAGCCAGCTCCTCTGGACTCATGAAAGTCAACTGTGTACATCTCTTCCCAACTCCAACTCAGGGTTGTTTGAAATCAGTCATGGTAGAAGGATTTACACTATAAAAATCAGCAAATACCACAAATACTACTCCTTTTCCAGAGATCTGGACCACTGACTTAAATCTGGCAATACAAACACATGACTATTAATAAATCCAGACAAGTATTCTTAAAAAAAAAAAACCTTATGTTAAAACCAATAAAAAATGTGGGGGACTATTCTAGACTATGCTCGATTCAAATAAACAAGAGGAATATGGGAATAATAAATATCTAATAAACACTTAAAAATTTGAGGGGAGAAGATTAAGGAAATTCAATATATTTTTAAATTAATATTTGATTTTTCTTAGACACAATAATATTAATATTTATAGCAGAATAGTTTCATTTTTAGAAGATGTATGCTTAAGTAGTAGTGAAATGTTAGGATAAAACTTACTTTTATATGGTTCAGGAAAATGGGATATAAAAAAATGTGGCAAAATGTCAACACTTAATAAATCTAGGTGAATGGTGTATAAATGTTCATTTTAACTTACCCACAGATTTTTAATTTAAAAAAAAAAGGGGTAAAACACACCAAATATAATAAAATGAAAAATTAAGTGGAGATAAGAAAAACAACTAACCCAAACTTGTCCAACTCTGACAATGCTAATAAGCCTTTATGTAACAAGTAAACAAAGGTCCAAGGTAAAATTTCAAAAAGTGACTACTAAGCATCCTTAGAAAAAAAATGTTAGTACAAAACAATAAAGTATATTTGTCTCTCACCAAAGATGAAGCTGTGTTTACATTTCAATGGATAAAAATAAAATCAGAGAACACATGTAGTCAACTATTTTATGGCAGCTTACAAGCAGTTAAGTAATCTTTACTTTTCTTTTAGATGGAAAGATTTTCCAGTCTAATTCGCATAGCAAAAAGTCAGATAATATTTTTCATTGTAAACTCACTCCAGAAAATCAAGCCATTCAGAATTGCAGTCAAGGACTAGCTGCTCTCGAAGCTGATTCAGATGTCTGTAATTTTCTACAATAAAAGGCGAGTGAAAGCGGCTCACAGCTTTTGTGCTATAAGAGAGGAGGGAAAAATAAATAGAAAATCAAGGTTACTAAGAAATCAGTAATGCCATCATTTCAGAAAATTCGTTATTTATTTTTCTCTGATGAACCTTGAAAATAAATAGCTGTAAATAGAGAACATTCTTTAATTATGGTCCTGAACTTTATTGATTCCAAAGATCTTTGTTGTAAAAAAAAGTACTTGGGGATCAAAGGCCTTTGTTCAGGAAGCTTTTAAAATGCATTTCAAATTTTATCCATATAGTAAAGTCAACATGTAGAACTTTAATTTCATAAGCAGAAAGCTTTTCTTTATATTAAGTAGAACCAACTACTGTTTTAAAAAGATTGGAAGCAAATATGGCAAAGTAAGTCTGACAAAGACGGAAGGCAGATACATGGTGAAGGTTATATATATTACTCTAATACTTTTCTATATAATTGAACTACATCAGTAAAAAAAGAAAAATTTAGAGTATTACATACAAATAATCACAATGCACTAATTCAGGAGACAACTGAAGAAGAGTTCTTCATTATCTAACTGTAGAATCACAGTAGTCCTGGATGGGAAGAAAAACTACATGCTCTTCTGTACTTGCATCTAATCTCTGCTTCTTCATTAAGGAGTGGTAGAGCACAATGGGGGCTGACTTGTTCCCATTGTGAGAAACCCAGCCAAGGCTGCAACTCTGTCACTTGCCACTATGTGACTTTGGGCAAATTTAACTACTTTCTCTAAATATCACTCTCTTCTCTACAAAATAGGGATAACAATATTATCTAACCTTGTAAATACTGTAATGATCTAACAGCTATGCTCAATAGATTATGTCTGTCGTTAGTACTCAAAATTAAGAGTCAATCAATAGTAGTGGTAGTCATTGGTACCACTACTGATGTTATATAACCAGGAGGGGGCTTTCAAAAGGAAAACATCATGGTTTAATAATTAGGCAAGTGATAACAGAGTAAACTAAATTTTGCTTCCTCGCTCTTGTAATACTGTCACAATAATCTTTGGTTTGGCAAGTAACTGAACAAGATATAAGCTATGGACCTTGCACATCTGAAAACTGACTGATGATATTTGAAATCTATCCTTCTCAAGGCTCCAAAGGCCAAACAATAGATAAAAAATTACAGTGAAATCTTCCCCAAACCATCTCATTTACTCATCCAATTTACATCATTGAATGTTCAAAAGATACTGGTACTGATTTGTACCCTGCCTATTTTTAAATTATGTCATCTAGACTTCTATGCAAACATTTTTTTTAAATTTATTTTTATTTATACAAGAATTGGGGTACAGGCCAGAGGCACGGAAGGGTGAGAGAATTCAACAGAGACAGAGTGGGGAGCAGAACAGGCACACGACTGAAAACACAGCTGAGGGGAGCAGCAGGCAAGACAGGAGAGGTCTGCCGCACCATGTGGGTATCTCCCTGGCCGGCCGGGAATTGAACCCAAACTGCAGAGTCTGCGGAGAGCTTTAAAGCAATGCGCTCAACCTGCTGCACCACCGGGAAGGCCCTTATGCAAACATTTTTATTAGAGCTTCCTTTTCTGACACAACACATTTAGTGAGACACTGCAATCATTGTTTCAGTCTAATGATTTTTGTTTTCTTCTGTTCATAGGCAGGTTTCCATTTATTAGTTGTAGTAAAGGGCAAAGTAGATAATGGAATGAATGCCTGCACAGAGAGAAAGTATCTTCTCAAACCAACAGCTAGTGGTAGCATGGGGGGCAAAGAGAAACATGGTATTAGCACTAAAGAAACCTTTGCCTATGCCAACAGAATAATTTAAAATAATTTAAAAATACTAAATAATCATCCATACATCATGTCAAAATTTTCTTTGCTCCTTCATAGAACAACCAGCTACTAAGAAGTAGATCTTCTACTATCTTAGGTAATGTAACATTTAAATCTCAAGTTCTTTAAACATATTAACAATAGTAGCAATAAATATTTAATAAGGATAGGACCTCTCTAATTATACCTTTTTAAGTGATTCACCTCTTGGGGATTAACATCTAGCCAATGAGAAAAGGCAGTGTCTCAACATAATGCTCTAATTTTTTTTCTGATAAATTTATTTTCATTAACTCATGAAATGATTTATATAAAGGATGTAAAGAACTATTGTAATTATGTGCCATAGAAAGCATTAAGAATAAAAAAATACAGGTAGTCAGTCAGGTAGAAAATGAAATTTTAGCTTCTTAAAAGAAATGTCAGATATTACATTCATCAAGAAATTCAAGCAATTAATCTTGTCATTGAAGGTTCCTTTTCTTTTTCATGTGTTTTAAGTATACTCTCAGGTGTAAGAAAAAAACCAGCAATTTACAAAATACTAAAATACATACAAATAAAATACTCTTTCTAAAAACTGTTTTAAAATCAACGACAAAAAAATTTTAAAGTAATTATCCTGTTGGTTAAAAGTTCCATAAGAAAGGTGAAGGGGAAGAACTGCTTTAGTTGTTGTAGATTTGGCTGTTGTTCAGTCTAGCAGTATACAGATATACAGATGTTATTATAATTCACATTGATAAGAAAAAAAAATGTACTTTTAAACATACCTTCCAACCTTGACCCAATCAGTTGGTATATAAGATACAGCAGAATTCTTTATTTCAATCATAAACTAAAGTAGATACAAATAAAAGTTAGGTATTTAAATGATTAACTATTTTGAAAATTGTGTTAGCTGTTTTCTAAATATCATTTTAAACATTCAAAATAAATCCAATATTGCTCCAGGCAGTTTAAATAAGACTACAAAACCAAATAATATTAAATTGAATTTCAATACTTGGGATAAAAGACAATTTGTACTGAGCAAAAAGTGTAATATAGGCTATAACTTCACACTTCAATGTTTTAATATTGCTATGTGAATGCTGAGAATGGTGATTTTTCATTAATGACTGCTTTCATTTATTAGTGCCCACTAATTTTAAGAATTCTATTACTCTGAATAAGACTGAATTTCTAAGTACATAAAATTTTAAAATATTTGATTATTAGATGACACATGAGTTTGAGATATGGCTCATTCCTTATTCTGAACAGAAGAGGATTTGTCAGAATAGATTTTATGCAAGGAGTTAAGTCCTCTAAAAGCATCCTGTTAAAAAAAAAAAAATCACTGATTTCTTCACACATTAAGGAAAGAAGATATTTCTTCCACGAGTGTTTTAAGTTTTCATCAATATGAGACACATCCTATAGCTCCAACTGTGCTTTGCAAGCAAGATTTTCTGAAATCAGGAATCAAGTGAAATCAAGTTCTATCACACATTTCATTTTTAACATTAGTAATAATGTAGATTATCTCTTTCCTGTTAATGAAATTCAATATATATATTTTTTAAATTCTAGAACTGTTTTATTTATTTATTTATTTTAATGATTTATTTATTTATTTATGCAAGCACTGGGTACAGTTAGAAGCTCGGGAGGGTGAGAGAATTCACCAGAGCCAGAGCGGGGAACAGAACAGGCAGACCAACGAAATACACTGCTGAGGGGAGCAGTGGGCGCGGCAGGAGAGGTCTGTCGCACCATGTGGGACCCTCACCAGTGGCTGGGGATCGAACCGGTGCTGCAGAAGCTGCGGGCAGCTTTGAGCCCAGCGCTCAACTGCTGCGCCACTAGGGGATGCCCCGATGAAATTCACTATTTTATTTAAGTAAACACACTTATTTTGTGCAGAATGGAGGCCAGAAGCTCCATGGTTGCCACTAATTTCAAGATGGCTACAGGTACCTTTTTAATATTTATCAGTTTTGTAACACTTCAGGTACTTAAAATTTACATACTATTTGTTGGTAGTATCAAGCTAGCTTAAGTTTATTTCTCTATTAACAGAAACAGTAAAGGTTTTACATTAATTAGAATAGCAATTAATTTTAAAATTTTTTAGACTTAACAGTGTCCTCTTGTAAAAGGAATTAATATTATTTAAAATCTGCTACACCCAGTAAAAATACTTAAAAGAATGAAAGGTCCAAAAGTCTTCTTTGGCTACAAAAAGCAACTGAGCAAAAAACTCACAAAATAAGTATCATTAATGGGACACAGTTGTACTATGTTATAAAAAAAAGTACTTATATGTTATTTTAAAATGTTCTGATAATAAATATTTATCTTTTAATGAATTAATTGTAGAAAGAGCTATGAAAAAAAGCAAAATTTAGGGCCACACTGGATCACGAATATTTTGGAAGGACACATTTGGATCCACAATGACTGACATAGAGTTCCATGGAATTACTGACAAAGGAATATGGAAATTCTGAAACGAACTATAACTGCCTCAAAAAAGTTAGTGGGGAGTCAGCAAAGCTACTTTCTTCTTCGCTTACATCTAAGAAGTAATCATATTTGATGAAGTCATTTCCCAGTATCTCTAAATATCATGTTGATGTCTTTAATGTAATTTTATAAAATAATTTGTTTATAACAATGCTGGATATTTAGAATTCATTTGGTGTTTGAATAAACAGAATCACTAATTCTCAAAAAACGTTATGAATTTGATACTATTAAGTATCTAAAGATTTTTAAAAACTAATGAGAAATGATCCTACCATTAACAGCTAAGAAATTTCTTGCCTCAAACTCATCACATTAACCTAGTAAAGGTTAAGAATAATAAGACAATTCTTCTTTCTCAATCACTTATAATCCAATTATTTGGTCTCTATTTGGTGCTTTTTTTTTTAAGCTTCAATGCAACTGATAAAGAATAATTAATCTACATCCCACATGAATTACTGATGATTTTTTTCCCATTTTCACTAAAAATTACCAATGAAGTCCAATAAGGTTTTGGTTTTTGTTTTCAGTTTGAATAGCATGAGCACTAAACTGTCTGGATTTTATAAAACAAATTTCATGATGTTGATAATCTCTTGTGTTAATATATATGAGTCAAGTGAAACAATGATTGGCAGAAAGAGTACAGCCAGGTAGACCTGGTTTGAAACTGGGCTTCTGACTTGGGTAACTTACCTAACAGCAAAAGTGGAATAACCAGTTTTCTTCCCCAGCAAAAAGTGGAGTAACTCCTTGTTGTTATAAGGATTAAGTTAGGTAATATAAGCAAAGCATTTAGAATTGTTCTGAACTTTAACAAATGTTTTATAAGTGATAAGTATATTGGGCCTCCCCAGTGGCGCAGCGGTTGAGCGCTGGGCTGCGAGGCTGCCCGCGGCCTCTGCAGCGCCGGTTCTATTCCCGGAGCCAGGTGAGGGTCCCACATGGCAGGCAGACCTCTCCTGTCACCTGCTGCTCCCCTCAGCAGTGTACTTTGTCAGTTTGCCTGTTCTGCTCCCCGCTCTGACTCTGGTGAATTCTCTCACCTTCCCACACTTCTGACTGTACCCAGTGCTTATATAAATAAATAAATCTTTAAAAAAAAATAAGTGGTAAGTATATTACTACTACTATTACATGAATAACATTTGTGTTTTATGATTAGACAGTAGATTCATGTATTTTAAGATGACTGGTCTTCACAGTAGTATCAGGACAGAAATGAGTTGTCCTTGGTTATTCAGTATGGAAGCGGTAGAACTGGCATTCACACTAGGCTTGCCATACTGTAATGCCAGGTAGCCACTTTTTTATTATGTACCTTTTATATTAAGAAATTTTGATTATCTAATTCACAACAATTAAAATAGTGGTGCTACTGCAAGATCATAATTGCATAGTAAAACTATGAAATATAAGTAAATATTTGGTTTTCCTATTGGGGGAAAACAATCATTTTTCTGTTTTATAGAGCTCTACGTGGACACAGCATGAAGTGTCTGTGTAAGTATAACATCTTAATAATTTTAATCAAAAGACAGGCTGACTTAATCAATAGTCTATTATAGGACAAGAGACTAATAAATATTTTCATAAAGATTATAGCTCACTACAGTCTCATATTTCAAATAATCATGCAAGTCACTCTTTTGGCTAAATATATAAATATGTAAAAGTCTGATTTGAAATTAAACTTTTCCCACTAGAAAAATATCTACTTTTTAAAATTCCAACCAAAGGGTTGGAAAGTTGATAAAATGTTATTGTTATAGAAATTACTCATAAACTTCTTAATTTGCTATTTTAATAAAGTAGAATTCCACGTCTCTTCAGTTGGAATCTGTATTTTAATACACAGATGCAGAAGTAGCACGCATGCCTCAAGACTCAGAATAGGACCAAGAAGTGTAAGAACATTTAAAAAGCATACTTCTTGATTTCTATTCAATATTAATATAAAACTTTAAACAGAAGTACAAACACCAAAAAGTGATAGCATCCCCAAAATTTAAAAAATACCAAATATATGACACCACAGTTATGTGTGAGCATTATACATTAGGGGAAACTCACTAAGGCCTTCACTATAATTTTTCATTTTTTTTTTAGCAGTTATAATCCTAACTTTAGAAGGAAGCCCTGCCATTTCATCACTGTATGATACAATCATACATGATTCACTTTGTATCATTTCATTATCTGTAAGACCAACTTCGTTCTCCTGGGGTTCAGGGTAAATGAATTCTGTAAATTATTACTCATAATAGTCATGCTTTTTTTATAATATAATTTCATTGAACAACATTAAAGCACATGTAACATTAAATTGTAAGATTAAAGTAAATAAACAAAACAGTTATTAAAAATGATCTTACCCAGAGTAAATCAACATATTCCCAAGGAAAATTAAAAATATAATTTCAACCTACGCTCAAATTTTAATCTACATTTTAAAATATTTTTTCTATTTGAGGAAAATTAATGCAATATAGCTTTGACATTACCTCCTGTCCTGATACTGTCACATACTGGATAGAAGGATTTTTTAGTATTTTTCGTATTTCTTGCAAATGTATTTGGATTTTGTCAGTAACTTCTTTAATTTCATCTTTCCTCTTTTTTATTAAAGGGAAATCAGAAAGATCTTTGAACAATTCAGTTTTATCACCAATTCTAAAAAATAAAAAGTACAAATACATAAATTGGAACATTAATTATACCAGTCATCAAATAGTTTTCACAGAATGATTGAAGACCAAAGGGTTGGAAGTCAGGAAAACAAAGTTCCAATTTTAGCTCTGCATTTATGGGTAAGCTTCTTAATCTCTTGGAAGACAGTCAAAATTACTCTAACATCATTTTCTTTTGCAGAGTCATGACTCTCGCAATGAAACCAAGAGATAAAATTATTTGCTATTTGCCCATTTGAAATAAACACAAGTATAAATTCTGAGAGTTCTTTGTGGAATGAACTGCAAAATAAGTAACTACCTTTTAAAACTTTTATAAATTTGCTCCTGCAGTTTCTAAGACCAACCATCTGACACCCATTTTAAAATAATAAACTACTTCTTACACCACATTGACTTTATCATTATATCATCTGATACTTGGGAAAATAGTACATCTGTCCTAAATGATGGAACTGCCTACATTTTAGAGAACAGTGTTACCTCCAGCTATAATACAGAGCTTTCCATATCTAATCACATTTCTAATTTCACATGCAAATTCTGCCACTACTTCTAGTGAAGCTAGAATCCACACACCAAATGGCAACTTTATTAGATGATTTTCACTGCTGCAAAGAACAAAAGGTCTGCTACTTACTTGGCAGCCTGTTCATTAAGTATCTTTAAGTAATGCTCCACTGGACTGAGAAATTCAGGAATTTCTAAAATCGATGTCTGGAGCACATCTGATTGGACATGGGAATTAACAGCAGGTACTAATGCTTGAAATTCTGACTTCACATGACAAAGAGTTTTGACAATCAAGAAGAACTCTTGGGTAGAACACTGAAAATAGAAATTTTTTTTAGTTACATAGCATAAGACACATGAAAATGAAGTTTAATTAGTATTCTTTTAAAGTTAGAATTAGAATAAAATTAGATTTTAATTTATATTACAAACAAGCTAATTAAAAGTGTTGATAACATCTAAACATTAAGTAAACAGTTTAAATACTTCATAAAATACTATATTAAAGCTATAAAGAAAATCCTTCCAGCCAGGGATAGTAAAGTCAATACATGTCCTATATGTTTTCATTTTAAAAAATATACTGACCACATAGCAAAAATACAGTAAACAATGTCAGAATTACACAGGATAATTCTAAGGAAATATCTCCAAGACATGAATAGACTGATATGGAATGCTACAATTTCAATATATATTAAATATACATATGTTTATATGATAAACATATAGGTATTTATACAATATATTTAGTGATTGTTTATATGCATTATTCCATAGAAATTAAAATATAAAAACAAAATTTCTGTAAGGGTACATAATATATAAGTTTATCTCTGGATAGTATGTATAGAGAAGGGTGGCAGATGCAGACATTTTTACTCTTTATTTTATGCCCTTCTATACTGTTATAATTTTTTAGCATGAACAATTTTTACATTGGAGCTTTTGATAAAGAGAGTACACTGAACAACTTCGCTCTTTTTGAAACTACAAAGGCTGTCTTTATTAAAAAGCATAAAATCACAAAAATAATGAGGAAAAAATGGCAACATCTTAAAAGTTATAAAGTAAATGTAAAAGTTGTAGCTGATTTAGAAAAAGAGAAATACTTGCATCTTAAACTAGCTGTGAGGATAACAAGGACCCAACTCGAATTACAGAAAGAATCCTAAAAGACTCAGGAACTGGTGGCATACATTATCTTTGGAGGGAGAAGCTGGGTGGGAGGAGAGAGAGTGATTATTTGAAAATGATTTAAAAAGCAACTAAATCCCTCAAAACTCCCTATTCCTCTCCATACCATTGAACAACCACCACTCTTCCACCCTACAAAAGAGTATTTTTATTCTCTGGCACAGTGAGTATCACCAAAAACAAGGAATTAAAGGAAAGGCTGGCAAACCGAATGCTGAGATTCCCATTCGTTCCTATACAGCCCCCAGAATATTGTCAGCCAGTCATGAGGCTGATAGAGTCCATGGGGAATCTCACAAGCCCAAGAGGAAAATTCTAGCCATACTGTAACAGGAATTTTCCCAACAAATGGACCAGCTAGTTTCACTCTAGAGTTGACCTCATATTTTGCAAGGCACATTCCACTATGTAGACCATACTATAGGCTTTCACACTTAAAAAGAAAATCAAGCATCAGATAAAAAATTCTAACATGAAATGCACAGACCAAAACAATCAATCAACAAAAAATGAAGGGAATTATAAGCCAACATTGCCACAATAAAAATTTACCTTAATCACACACACACACACACACACACACACATATATACACACACCCTAGCAGAAATAGAGCCTTTACAGGTAGAAGAAAACTTCCAAAAGCATAATAATATCCTGTTACATTTTTACAGAGAATATTGCAACTATGAAACCAAAATGGGATACTGTGTTTTTAAAAAAGGAAAAGCCAGAGAAAAGCAACAGATTCTTGGAAATTAAACTATACTGATAGAAAAACTCCAACAGAGTAAGTGGAAGATAAAGGTAATGAAATTTCCAAGAAGATAAAACAAAAATGAAGAGATGAAAAATAGTGAAGAAAGTTAATCAGTCCAGGAGATTTCAATCAATTCCAATAACACAGTTGTAGAAAAAAAAATCATCGAAATGTAAATCAGAAGAATTTCACAGAATTTTAGGATTTACCTTGCCAGATTCAAATATCCCAATATAACACATGAAAACAGAACCCAATCAAGGTGAATCATCATGAAATATTAGAACATTGGGAACAAAGAGAAAATCAACTTAGATTAGAGGTGGAGAGGGAGAAAGACAAGGAAAAATAAGTCACATGAAGATGAGGAATCAGAATGACTTCAGACTACTTAACAATAGCAATAGAAGGGCCTCCCCTGGTGGCACAGTGGTTGAGCCTGGGCTGCAAAGCTGCCCACAGCCTCTGCAGCCCGGGTTCGATCCTGGGCCGCTGGGTGAGGGTCTCACATGGCGCGCAGACCTCTCCTGCCGCGCCCGCTGCTCCCCTCAGCAGTGTATTTCATCACTCTGCCTGTTCTGTTCCCAGCTCTGGCTCTGGTGAATTCTCTTACCCTCCCGCGCTTCTGACTGTGCCCAGTGCTTGTATAAATAAATAAATAAATCTTTAAAAAAAAATAGCAATAGAAGCCAGAAGATAATTGAGTACCACAAAGCTGTGAAGGAAAATAATTTTGTAACTAGAATTTTACATTCAGTAAACCACCAACCAAATGTGAAAGAAAGAGGAAAATGACATTTCCAGACATCAATGTTTCAAAGTATTTATTTCTATTACCCATATCAGGATGCCTCTAGAAGATGTACTCTACACCAAAGTGAAGTTGAATAAACCAGGAGGAAGACATGAAATACAGAATTCTCATGATTCTGTTTAAAGGAAGTAAAAGAAATCTCAAAAGGTAGTCACATAACAATTATAGAGGGTAACCAGTTCACACCAGATTTTACCATAAGGTTCAAGAAAATAAAATTAATAGGATAGTTGATGAAAATAAATTTGACATGAGTGGATTATTTAAGGTTGAGTTAATGATAAGTACACAAAATTAGTATATATAAAATAGATTAATGCTAACATACTTACAAAAGCAATTATTAACTACAAGGAATGAAGTTAATTATGCAGAAAATAAAACTCAGATGCAAATGAACAAAAGCTGAGTTCAAAGTGTATCATAAAATACCTCTTCTGCAGAAAGTCTACTGTATGCCAGGAAAGCTGTATACATGAAGCTAGATTGTTTAAATAAAAGTGAAATCTATGGGGCCTCCTTGGTGGCACAAGAGTTAAGACACAACCTATGAAGCTAACTTCAGCCACTGCAGCACAAGTTCGATTCCCTGCCAGCCAGGGAGCAACCTACATGGTGCAGCAGACCTCTCCTGACTCGCCCTGCTGCTCCCCTCAGCAGTGTACTTCAGTCAATCTGCTTGTTCTGTTTCCTACTCTATCTCTGGTGAATCCTCTCACCCCCTCCCCCCCACACCTCTGGCCTGTACTCCAGCTCTTGTATGCATAAATAAATAAATAAATAAATAAATAAAATTAAGTCTAGGAAATTGTTGCCCAATAGTTGAAACATTCTAACAAAAGTGAAGAGCCAAAAATAAACATTTTCAACAAAATTTCAGAAAATCTCTTATAATTATTGTAATTTGAGAAGCAAGAAAAATTGAGCTTTCATATTCAGATATGACATAAAGTTTAATTCAACAACAGAAGCAGAGTGAAAAACTAAGTGCTTTGCATTCAAATTCTAAGTGCCCAATGCAAGTTGTTCTCAAGTTTCTTAAGCAAAACAAGTCAATGGAGCTACCAAAACAACTAAGGATAAAGATAAGGAATCACTCATATTCAGTCCCATTTCTGACAGCAAACTTCTCTGTGGTAGGGAAGTTTAGAACAGTCACAAGGGCAGCGTAAGGCCATCACAGAACTGGTAGAAGCCAGCCTAAGTTCCATGCAAAAATGTAACTTTGAGCTTCTACAGTCTAGACAAGAAACATTCTCATCTACAAATTTCTGGAAACACTCTCCTTTCAACATTTACCAAGTGCTATTATCCTTTACATGTATTCACCAACCTTAGCAGTTATGTATTACTTTCTCACAAAACAGTTCTTTATCCAAATTAATATGAGTTCCTGTGATTAGTAATATTTTCTAAGATATGAAAGTTCTACTATCAAAGGAAATGTTGATTTTATTTCAGGCTAGTCCCACTTGGTAGTCTCTATTATCATCATCATAAAAATATCTAATTTGTGCCTATTCCATGGCACTTTCCACAGAGCCATATGGTATAAGCTTACCACTTTCACAACATCCAGTGTTCCTTACCATATTATGAATTTCTTATAATTGGCACAAACTGTACCGAGGATAACATTCACCATTTGGTGCATACAGCAGAAGCTTATTTAGAGAAATCTGACGATAAAGAACAGACATGTGTTTGATGTCCTTCAAAAGCCAGTTAACTATAAAATTTGGTTTAAAGCACTGAGTCTTGGGCCTCCCCTGGTGGTGCAGACGATTGAGCACCGCACTGTGAAGCTGTTCGCAGCCTCTGCAATGCTGGTTCGATTCCAGCCAGCCAGCGAGGGGCCCACATGGCACAGCAGACCTCTCTTGTCGCGCCCGCTGCTCCCCTCAGCAGTGTATTTCGTCAGTCTGCCTGTTCTGTTCTCCGCTCTGTCTCTGGTGAATCCTCTCACCCTCCCATGCAGCTGGCCTGTACCCTTATTCTTGTATAAATAAATAAATCTTAAAAAAAAAAAAAAGCACTGAGTCTTCCAAAAATGGGTTTGTTACCAAATCAGTTCTAATCTAATCTTTACTGTTCAAACCAATATTAAGACGTATTTTGTGTAAACAACAAAACAGCACCCGGAAGAGCTGCTCAGTGAATCAAGCCCCTTTCATAAAGTATATTTTTGAAAGTATAAATAAAAGTGATTCTTGCTATGCATACTAGTTGCTTTTAAAATGAATTAGATTCTAGGGCCTCCCCGGTGGCACAGCACTTGAGCGCTGGGTTGCGAAGCTGCCCGCAGCCTCTGCAGCGCCGGTTCGATCCCCGGCTGCTCCCTGGCCACTTATGGAGGGTCCCACGTGGCGCGCAGACCTCTCCTGCCGCCCACTGCTCCCCTCAGCAGTGTACTTCGTCAGTCTGCCTGCTCTGCTCCCCGCTCTGGCTCTGGTGAATTCTCTCACCCTCCCGCTCTTCTGACTGGACCCAGTGCTTGTATAAATAAATAAAAATAAATCTTTAAATAAATAAATAAAATGAATTAGATTCTATACCATATGATCTCACTTATATGTGAGATGGCTGCAGAAGGGAGGGCAGGAAGGAAAGAGTAATGTGGGTCAAACATGACAAACTTCTAGTTATAAACAAGTAAGTCTTGGGATAATGCACAGCACAGTTAGTAACACTATTGTATATTTGAAAATTGTTAAGACAACAGATCTTAAAAGTTCTCATTACAAGAAAAAAACAACTATGTGTAGTAATGACTGTTAACTCGACTTACATAATGTGATCATTTCACCATATATATACATAGCAAATCATGCTGTACTCCTGAAACTAATGATATGCCAATTATATCTTTTTAAAAGGAGTAAGATTTGTTTATGAGATTGTAAACTTTTTAAATGCACAAACCTTAGACAAACATTTACGCAAAGCTGAAAGTGAAGCTGAAAGGTATCACAGAAACCACAGTATGAAATGAAGCTGTCAGCCTATGTCATTGATACTTTAACTCTACTTTTAATTAGCAATTAATAGTTTTTTCAGCTTTGTTCCTATTTCTTTTTGAGAAAAGCAAAGATCTCTGACATTTGTCATTTAATCCTTTCAAGCAGTAAAGACATATTGCTTGGAGATTTGTTTATTGGAGGGTACTATACACTGATTAATAAATGAACCTTTACCAATTGCAGAAGTCATTCACATACATTAAACTCTTTGTTTCGCATAAAAACTTCAATATATTGAGAAGATACTTTGTTTATCACCTTTCACTGATGGGTCAATGATACAAAGTAACAAATGACTTACCCACTCTGCAACATCAAAAAAGTCAACCATAAAACTGGCATCACAGCCTCTACTATTGCCAAAACAATGCATCCAAGTAATGTCAGAAAGACTCCATAAGCAACTCCCAAATTTCCTTTCTAAGGATTAGAATTCCCAACTCTGGCTTGTTCTTTGCTTTCAATTTTAGCTGAAACATATGGAAGGCTTACATAAATCATCTTGAGCACTGCAAGTATGCTCAGAATAATACTTATCGTTCTAGTATAGCTTTATGGGGGAAAAGACCTAAAAAAGTAAGAACTAATGAAAAGTTGGCCACAACTAAAATTCAGGCACATAAAATATATCCTATAATTAAATTATGACATTGGCAGGGATTTATATTTGGGCAAAATATAAAATTTGCTTATGTAGAGATGAGGAAAAAATGCAATGGTAGTCAAAATGTTACATCAAAAATGACAGTGTCCAAAAAATGACTAAAAACACAGTCAAGGACTCAGGTTTAAATATTATATCAACTGCTAGGTACTGCACACTATTGTAGCTACAGTGTGTGTGTGTGTGTGTGTGTGTGTGCATGAGCATGCGTGTGTGCGCGTGTGGTAAAAACTTCCTGTCAGTAAGAAGGTGATAAACATAGTATCTTCTCAATATAGAAAAGTTTTTGGTTTTGTTATTTATTTATTTATTTATTTATTTATTTATTTATTTATTTACACAAGCACTGGGTACAGTCAGAAGAGCGGGAGGGTGAGAGAATTCACCAGAGCCACAGCGGGGGACAGAATAGGCAGACCAACGAAACATACTGCTAAGGGGAGCAACGGGCACGGCAGGAGAGGTCTGCATGCCATGTGGGACCCTTGCCAGCGGCCAGGGATCAAACTGGTGCTGCAGAGTCTGCGGGCAGCTTCGCAGCCCAGCACTCAACCACTGCGCCACCAGGGGAGGCCCTCAGTATAGAAAAGTTTTTAGAGGAAACAAAGGTTCTAATGCATGTGAATAACTTCTGCAACAGGTAAAAAATTATAACATGTTTATTAATTGAGACATATAAATACATAACTATTATTAATTTTAGGCTTTTTTTAATATTATGGAAAAAATTATAATTAGCCAACTGGACTCAGTTTAGATGACACTAATTTTACTGACAACATCCAAAGCATCATATTCAGGAGCCAGCTGAACATATGCCATCTCTCCAAAAGTTCTCATCAGGTGTTGACTTTGACCATGTCAATGTCACAAAGTCTCTTCACAGCCTGTCTGATCCCAGTGCTCACTGGCCTGCTCATTGGCCACAATGAACAGAAGAGTGTTGTTGTCTTCTAGCTTTCATGATTGGCATTGTTAAAAGAAATAGAAGATGACATAGAGAAATGGAAAGATATTCCCTGTTCATGGATTGGAGTTAAGATTGTTAAAATGGTCCTCCTACCCAAAGCAATATACAGATTCAATGCAATTTCTATCAAAGGTTCAGTGGAATTTTTCACTGAGAAACACTAATAAAATTTATATGAAACCACTAAAGACACCCAAAAGCAAGGCAATTCTAAAAATAATAAGAGGATGAATAGTGGTATCACAACTCCCAGATTAAAACTATAGTAAGAAAAACAGTATTGTATTAGACTAAAAATATACAAAGAATGGGCCTCCCTGGTGGCGCGGCGGATTGAGCACAGCGCTGTGAAGCTGTCCACAGCCTCTGCAGTGTGGGTTCGATTTCCGGCCGCCAGGGAGAAACCCACATGGCATGGCAGACCTCCCCTGCCTTGCCCACTGCTCTCCTCAGCAGTGTTTTCCGTCCGCCTGCCTGTTCTGTTCCCCGCTCTGTCTCTGGGGAATTCTCTCATCCTCCCATTCTCTCATCCTCCCATCCTCCCATCCTCCAAGTGATAAAAGGAAAATTGGTCAACCATATATCCAAAAGGAAGAAACTACACTACTATCTCACATCATATACAAAAATCAACTCAAAATGAATTAAAGATTGGTTTCTGGGACTTGAATTCTACAGCAAGTCAAATAAAAGCAAAAATAAACAAATGGAACTATATCAAGCTAAGAACTTTTGCACAGCAAAAGAAATTATCATTAGAACAGAAAGACACCTTACTAAATGGGAGAAAATATCTGTACATCATGTATCCAAAGAGGCTAATATCCCAGATCTACAAAGAACTCATACAACTGACCATAAGAATTAGCCTAAATCAAAAACTGGGCAGAAGAGCTAAATAGAAACTTCTTCAAAGAAGAAATATGGATGGCCAACAGGCATACAAAGAAATGCTTTTCATCACTTTTATAAAGGAAATGCAAATCAAAACTATAATGAGATACCATCTCACACCCATGAGAATGGGCCATTTAAAAAAAAAAGCCCAGAAACAAGAAGCACTGGTGAGAAATATGGAGACAAAAGAACCCTCATGCACTGCTGTGGGAACATAAGCTGATCCATCCACTATGGAAAATGGGTTTCTCAGTCTATCACACCTGCAATCCCACTCTTGGGTATCTACTGCAAAATGCAAAAACACTAATTCAAAAAAATAAATGCACTCCTATGTTCACTGCAACACTACTGATAACAGACAAGTTATGGAACTAACCTAAATGCCCAAGGAAAAACGAGTGGATTAAGAAGATGCGGTATATATCTCCCATGTGAACACTACTTGGTTTTAAAAAAAAAGGTGAGATCTTCCTATTTGCATAACATGGATAGAAATAGAAGAGATTATGCTAAGCAAAATGAAACAGAAAGAAACAAACTACCAGATTATTTCACTCACCTGTGCAATACAAAAGAAACAAAACCAAAACAAACCCTAGAAATCTAACTGCAGAATTGAGGCGACCAGAGGTGGAAAGAGTCCAGTGGACTACAATGGAGGATTATCAGTGCTTTGGTGATGGGTTTGAGTTTGGTGCGGCAATATACCATCTGAAGAATAGTGCATCTATACCCATAAATCTTTACAGTGTTGTAAATTTTCTATTTTGATAATGCTCTGCAGTTTAAGGATTAAACCTGAAAATATCTTGTGTATTATAAGAGTGAGAACGCCACATGTTGCTGTTTAATAGCAGTGGAAAAATTTTACTTTTAAAATTAAAAAAGTTGAAATAATTTGTACAATTAAAATTTTTGAGAATTCGCTTGAGTTACCTGAAAGATTTTTAAAAATAACATAATTAAGTCCCGAGATGTTTTCCTTCAGTACCCTGTGTCCACATGATAAGAAACATTATCAGTTTTAATACATTTAATTTCTATAAAACTTACTTTTTTGTGATAAATGCTACAAAGTCCTCTTTCTATATCAGGCAATTTACGTAGATGATTTTCTATATGAACAAACACACTGGTTTCTGAGTGGAGAACTTCAGATACAGCATCAAGTCGAGCATTTATTTCCCTGTGAGAACAGTCAGAGCAATTATCAGATATGATAGGATTCAGAGCATAAACATTTTCCAATCTGAAGCCCAGCAATGGGACCATAGCCATTTAGGTAAACAGAAAGTAAACTCCTTCTCCACATCTGTCGTTCCCAGCCCTTTATCATTTGTATAAAAGAGTAGGTCATATGGGCCTCCCCAGTGGCGCAGCGGTTGAGCGCTGGGTTGCGAAGCTGCCCGCATCCTCTGCTGCACTGGTTCAATCCCCAGCTGCTCCTCGGCCACTGGAGGAGGGTCCCACATGGCGCGCAGACCTCTCCTGCCGCCGGCTGCTCCCCTCAGCAGTGTACTTCGGTCCTTCTGCCTGCTCTGCTCTCCACTCTGGCTCTGGTGAATTCTCTCACCCTCCCGCGCTTCTGACTGTACCCAGTGCTTGTATAAATAAATAAATAAATAAATAAATAAATAAATAAATAAATAAATAAAATAAATAAATAAATCTTTAAAAAAAAAAAAAAAAGAGTAGGTCACATGAAGAAAGCATCAGTTAGGTTAGGCAGAGATTGGCTAATTCGATTTTCCTTTCCTCTCAAGCAACACACATTACCTTTCCCAGCCTCCCCTCTAATTTAGTATGGCAATATACCCAAATTCCAGCCAATGAAATCTGGGTAGGAATGATTAAGCCCCTCTTAGCCCTGTCCATGAAAACCTGCTGTGTTATGTTTCACATATGTTCTTCTCTGATATCTTGTAAGTCACAGGTTGAATCCATCAGTCTGGATCCTTGAGTGAGGCAGAAAACCCTCCACTGCCTTATTTACTATGAATTTGACTTTATATTTAGGAAGAAATAAATTCTTATTTTATTTTAACCACTGAGATTAAGGATTGATTTGCTAAAACTGTAGCTATTCCTTTGGCTACAATAGCTCTACAATGGACAATTACATTTTCTGAGTGACTGACACTCGTAATCAAAAAACAATTCTTCCAGTAAACCAACTGCTACAATACTGAAGATGAGGGGAGTTGAACTAATCAGTTGTTTCACTGAAACAGGCTTAGGTGTGCTGAACCCTGAGAAAAGACTGAGAATAGTACGAGAAAGTCCAGAATCTAGGGCATGAGGAAACATGGAAAGTTGGGATGGCAGGATTTCGTCAATGACTTCACCTAAGGAACAGATCACTCGGGAAGAAATGGTAAGACTGGCAACTTAAAATGGAGACCTGTTCCGAGATATGGCCTATCCAGTACCTTATAAAATCAAGTCCTACATTAGCTATAAAGGTCATGTGTGATATTAAAGACTGTGATAAACACAGTTAGAAATTAGTAGGACACTGGTAAATTTTTTTTCTTTTAATGAGTCAATGAACAAATGAACAAGGGAGCAAATGAAGAAATGAACTGATATTTTGGAAGAAAGAGAGAGATCAGCTACTGAATATACATTTGTGTATCAAAGTTCCATTTACATGAATGTGATGGACAAACCTTACATCAGAATCCTAGATGACTGTTAAAATGAGCAGTTTGCAATTGATTATCTTTACAGCCCCTATAACTATCCAGTGAAGTCATGTCTGTTCATCATTCACACACTAACTTGAGGTACCAACATCTTTGCTCCATTTTTCTCTGTTCAGTCTACACTGTGGAACAGGTACTTGGTTTAGCATAACATGCCAAAGTTTTGTAGGCACATAGACTGGTTATTCCATTTTGGTGTGGCCTCCTAAATCTTTCAACTTCTCTTTCTCTTTACTACCATTATACTAATTTAAATAAAAATAATTTTTCAGGAAGACTACTAAAGCTGTCTCCTAACTTTCCTCCCCACATCTACTTTTGCCACTTTTTCCCAATCCATTTTCCTCAAAGTAGCCTGAGTAGTCTCCCTAGAACCCAAATCTGCTCATGTCATACTTCTATGTTCAGCTCACCAGTGACTTGCCATTAACCTTACATTCAAATCTACAATCCTAAGCTGACCTACTAGACAAATGATTTCTACTTACCTCCTCAAGTCTCACCTCACCTGTCACTCTCTTCCTCTCACTCTAAGTTCTAGCAAGACTGAACTCTTCCAACATCTTGGTTACTTCAATATCTGACACCAGGGCTTTCTCATTTGCTGCTAATCCCTCCTTAAGTCTTTTCCTCTCTCCTATTGCCTACCAGCTCAGCTTTGTTAGGCAAGTAACTACTCTCCCCTACTTTTAAAGGGGCTTTCTAAACTCACAAGATTCAATTTAATCCTTTGTAAGGCTTTTCTACACCACCCTAAGTTTTTTCTGAGTAGAAATCATAATTGTATTTACTTCTCACTTTGTTTTCCACTAGACCATACATTCAATGAGAACAGGGAGCATTTTTGTAATCATAATATATGTTCAATAAATCATGCTCAACTCAATTTACTTCTAAAGATTACATATAAATGAAGAAGAGGTAAAAAAAAATTAAAAGCTAAATTTTCTTTGCATAGGATTGTTGTGATAAAATGAATCAATGTTTTATCCTAACGTTTACCAAAATGTTATACAAATATAAAGTTTTATTTTAATAACTCACTCCTGCATAAATGAAAGATGATACCATTTGGAATAGACTAAGTTGATGCTACAGATGGTATGAGGACAGATAAAATAATGCCATCTGCAAACATATAAGACAGCCTACAAAAATAGCTACTCTCTCAAAAATTACTAAGGTTATTTAAGATATGAAAAGATAAAAACAAGAGGATTTTATTAACCTAAATCATATTTATAAAGTCAACTAGAAGATTTCCTTAAATAGACATAAAACTATGAATTTCTTAGAAAGAGAATGAAAAGGTTGTGCTAAACTGGTTTGCACTCCTTGGAAATACACGATGTCTTTTTTTTTTTAGCCTAGTGAGGTAAAGGGAAAGGCATGGTCGCAATGAATCATTTTGGTTTTAACCCAGCCTTTATTTTTTTAGGTAGAATTTAGGTTGCGAAGGCAGGTGACATCAGTGCAAATCCAAGTCTACCATTTACCAATTATTTAGCCTTGCCCTAGTTTTTCCATCTATAAAATGGGAATAATAATGGTCCCTCATAGGGTTGTTAAAAGTATTCAATGAAATCATACATGTAAAGCACTTAGCATAGTCCCTGGCACATAGTAACTATACAATACATGTTAGTTGTTTCATTATTATGGTGCTCTTTATTTGCTTATAAAATTTGTTTGGCAGATATCACAAACAAAACAAAATAACAGCACTGGGGAGGGAGAAATATAACCAAAAATATGAGCTTGGAAATAACTATACATAGATAAGCCTTAAGTTATAAATGTGCAAAAAGATATTTTGTGCAAGTGAACAAGGAAGGAATATACACAAAACTAGTCCTGGGATTACAAATGCTAAATCTGACTGGTAATAGTGACCTGCAGTAGTGTGTTGAGATTGGTTAGTGGGCTGCAATGATAAAGAATGTCATTAACAATTATAGACATATCTATAACATCGGCAGGGAAAGGTAAAAGGTATGTGGCACTGTTTATCACAAATTCCTCTTCACTGGGGCAGCCACAATTTCACTTTTTCCACCTGTATGCAGATCAGAATGCAAATGAATAAAAATAATTTTTAGTTAAGTTTTTTAAATAAAAGTTTGCATACCTTAGAATTGTTCTTAATTAGCAGCAGTAACAAGATAACTGCAATGAAACAGTATGTCAAACCACCAGAAGAACAATTATGTTGGTGCAATCATGAGAGCTGGTGATTGTGACCAAGAAAACATGAAGTAGCACTGTCAATTAATGATGATAAAGACATTCCAAGAGGCCCTATAGCATTCTACAGTTGATCTTACAAAAGGATACTTTTTTTAAGATTTTTAAAAATTTTACTTTTTTTTTGAAACATCTTGTTTATTTTTAGTTTAGGATTTCCCCGCTCAGGTATGGTCACCATAATTTTCCCACAACTGAAGCACCCACAATCTTCCACCTCAGTCCACGGTGCTCTCCTCCTCCACTTGTTTCCTACACTCTCCTCTCCCACCCCTTAAGGCTTATCTACATATAGTTACTTCCAAGCTCAGATTTTGGGTTATATTTCTACCCTCCCAAATATCTTAAATCTATTGTCAGCTTTCAAAAGTCAGTCTTTCAGTTTGTCTTTGTCTTATCCTTTGTTTGGTTTCTCTATCCCACATAAAAGTGCAACCATCTGGCATTTTTCTTTCTTATTCTGGCTCACTTCACTTAAAATAATGCTTTCCAGTTCCATCAATATTGCCGCAAATGGCAAGAGTTTATCTTTTTTGATTGCTGGGTTGTATTTCATTGTGTATATATACCACTTCTTGACTTATTCATCTGTTTTTGGAGCATTTAGGTTGTTTCCATATCTTTGCTATTGTAAATAGTTCTTCTATAAACACAGGAGTGCAGGTTTCCTTTTGAAATAGTGTTTATGTGCTCTTAGGAGTGGAATTGTTGGGTCATACGGCAGATCCATTTTTACTCTTTTGAGGAATCTCCACACTTTTTCCATAGGGATTGGACCAGTCTACATTTCCACCGACAGTGTAATACAGCTCCTTTTTCTCCACACTCTCACCAACACTTGTTTTTTTTAATATGGGTCATTCTCACAGGTATGAGGTGGTAGCTCATTGTGGTTCAGTTTTGCATTTCCCTGATTAAAAGTAATAATGAACATTTTATAATGTCTGCTGGCCATTTGCATGTCTTCTTTGGAGAAGTGCTTTTTAGCTCTCTGCCCATTTTTTGATTGGCTTGTTTGTTTTTTTATTGAGGTGCATAAGCTCTTTGTACATCTTCTATATCAATCCCTTTTTAAAAGTACGGTATGCAAATATTTTCACCTGTTTAGTAGCATGTCTCTATGTTTTGGTCACTGTCTCTTTCATTGTACAGAAGTTTTTATAGTTTGATATAGTCCCAGTTGTTTATTTTTTCCTTTGTTTTCCTTGCTACTGGAGATTAGTCCTCAAAGATGTTTCTGAAGTTTAAATCATGGAGTGTGGTGTCTCTGTTTTCGTCTGTGTTTTATTGTTTCAAGCCTTACATCCAAATCATTTATCCATTTTGAGTTGATTTTTGTGTATAGTAGAGATAATAGTCTATTGAATAGTTTCATTCTTTTGCATGTGGCTGTCTGTTTTCCCAGTGCCACTTATTAAAAGGTTTTCCTTATTTCAGAGCATATACTTTGCTCCTCTTTATACATTAGTTGTCCATAAATGTGTAGTTTTATTGCTGGACTCTCAATTCTATTCCACTGGTCTATGTGTTTGTTTTTATTCCAGTACCAACATGATACATTTTAAGTTAATGAAAAGAAGACACCTGAGTCATTTCCTTCCATATGACAAAAGAAAAAAATGTTGGAATTGAGGTCCTGGTTGACAAGGTTTCTTCTTTACCTCCTAAGACCCAAGGACTAAATGTGGGTGTCAGAAGAGTCCTTCACATTTGAAGATGCACTGGATGATGACGTAAGTATCTGTTGTGTGTGGCTGCCACTCAGAAACATAGTGCATGACCTATAGCTATTGCCATTGTAAGGAAATGTGGTTGAGTCTGTACCTGCAGTTGCTATTTGTGGAGATGCCACTATAATTCTAACATAACATTATTTGGAAGAAAAAAGTTAAAATACAAACTGCCGGGGAGAGGTTGATTTTAGTTGCTTGCTTGTCCTACATTTTTACTGAAAGATTTTCTCTAAAGACAGATGATATAAAGTGAGTGAATTAAATTCAGATATTAACACACTGGTCACACATTATAGCTAGACCAACTACCAAAACAGCTTTCTAGTGGAAATAGGAGAGGGCCTACAATTACTGGCATCTTTGCTGCTTCACCCTTCACACACACCATTTGTGTATTCATTTAATGAATAATTACTAAGTGTTCACAATGTACCAATCACAGAGGTAGTGGGAGATGGAGAACGAAAGTGTAAGAGTGTGACAGTGGGAACTAGCATGTCACTGAGGAGTTTTGACTTTAGTGAGAATGACTGGAACCAAGAGCGAATGCTTGAAATAAGGCCAGTGGGAGGAAGACTGATTAGATGGCCATTCAGTAATCCAGAACAGTGACACTAATGTTCTCAACTTGAGGAGAGGATATGGGGATGAAATGATCACACAGTTTTAAGAAATATCAGGATGGTAAAGTTAACTAGAGTAGTGACTGAGATTAAATAATGGAAAGAGACAGGGAAGGAATAAGTTGGGTAATGAGAAACTCTATGGTGCCATTCATAGATATGATGTTCATAACTTTACAGATCATGAAGAAATGTTTTAATTTTCTTATGAAATGACATTGTAACGAACTATTCTGAATATTTACCTTGTGGCAAATTGTAAATCACCCAATAGCTTAGTAATTTGTATTTCTTGTGTTCTAATGAAGCATTTTACCAACAAACAAAAATTTACCCTTTTCAGAATATTAAATAGTACAAATTTTGACAGCTTCTTTCCATTATCAACTTAGAACACAAATGTAAGTCTTTAAAAAGAGCATTTATGACTTGTGCTTTTGGTAATGGTAAGAATGGGTACTTTCAGACCAACCCTGTCACTGAGGGCAATATAAAAAGCCAAATGAAACAAAAACACATTGATAAAAGCATCAAAGAACAAACTGGGAAGGAGTAACTATACAAAGCAAGAATGTTCAGAAATAATCCAGCAGTCAAGTCACTGAAGAGATATGCCAGAAAAATCTGCTGTAAAATAAGCTTGCCTCAGTGTAAGGGTGACTTGCAGCTTAAGTTAAAATCATTTGGAAGAACTAAAACATATCAAACAATGAACTTGAATTAAGATGATCTCAGACTCGATAGTGTCACCAAGACCTTGAGAGACTCAAACAAAGATTTTCCCAGGGAAAAGACACCTTCATCTTAGCCCTCTATTATTCTTAAAAGAAAATTTCCAAATAATATAACCAGTATAACCAAGATAATCAAGCACAAAATGAAACCAGACTGAGTCAGAATCAACAGAGACAGCAGAAAATATGGACAGACATACTGGGGGACAGACTGAATTATAAAAAATTACAAAAAAATACTAAAGAAATCCAAAAGAAATCAACAAAATGAAGCATAGAACGGGTGGGAAAATTAGAAATCAAGACAGTTGTGTAAATGTTTGTTGCTTTTACAGGTGACCTGGCTCTTGGTAATATTTTTATCTCTGACTTTGTGACATATAGTTTCACTACTAGTTAACATTAGATTTCCTGGTTTTTTCCTATTGCATGTTGGATTCATTGTTTTTTAAACCTAGGACTCACACCTTTCATGAAATATGAGAAATTCTTGTTCTTTATTATCATTTTGAATATTGTTTCTCTTCCCTTTTTCTCTAATTTTCTTCTTTTGGAAATGAGATAATGTTATGTTGGCACACCTAATTTCCTATCTGTCTCTCACTCTTTCATATCTTTTATCACATTCTGTGCTACACTCCAGATTAATTTCTTCAGCTCTTATCTTGCATTTCAGTTACAGTATCTATGTTTAGTCCACCCATTATTTGTAAAAGTTATATGCTGTTCTTTTTAAAATAAATCTGATCACTTCTGATGGCATTTTTTTCTGTGCTCATTCTTTTTCTCTTTTGCATTTCTTTTAATATTTGATGTTTATCTTGATAATCCCATTATCTCAAGATCCTAGGATTCTAATTCTGCTATATATAACTTCTGTTCATTCACACTCATGGTTACCTTGTTCCCATGTATTTTGTAATCATAGCCTGTGAGACTATGGTTGAACTGTTTCTTTGGGGTTCCTAGGAAACTTAGACTGAGAGCATATTCCTTCAGGAAGAAATGCTTTTGCTTCCACTAAGAATGCTGGGCATAATATTTTTAATGCATTTCCTAACTTGGAAATGATCACACAGATCATACAAATTGGAATAGCAAACCTGATTGAGGATGGGCATGTGATTAAGAATTCAGGGGGATATTTCCCCCGATGAGACTTGACCAAGACAGACATATTTTCCCTCTTTACTGAGATTACTGTCCTTTTAGTGGTTTATGTTATTATACAGTTTCCCTAACTAAAATGAACAAAAGGCCTTGGCTCCTGCTACCCACAGGTTATTTAAATGCCAGTCCTTTTGATTACCAACATTTGCAGTGGCCTGGTGGCAGCTGCAGTGTCAATATTAAGTCACTTTCATTTTCAGCTCCTTTATCAATCTTTTCTTTTTTTATTTTATTTTTGCCCCAAACAAGCTTAACTATGTTCTGAAAGGATGCTTGCTAAACTTTGTGCAGCATATCTAGGTATTTCATGTAAGAAAGTATCTTTATGACAGTAAAGCCACAGAAAATGAAGTCTTCCCACCATTTTAGGGAGCTATAGTCTGAAAATCCTCACCAAATAAGGCATGAAAAATGATGCTTGCAGAGCCAGCATATCTCTTCTGCATTCTCTCCTGTTTTCTCATTCTCAGCCCATGAAAGTCACCACTTACTATTATGACAGAAGTGAAGGTGTGGTAACAAACACATTTTTAAAATTCATTTACGCTTTGGTTTTCTAAATGTCTCACACTGAACCTCTTTCAGATTTCTACTGTTACTGCTTTAGCACAGGTCCTCCTAAGCTCTCCATAAACTTGCCGAACTGCCTCCCACCAACACTTTGTCATCCCCTCACCCCAGCTCTGATCTGTCACTCTTATGCTCAGAATCATTGTTTTAACTTTCTCTGGCTACCAACTCCTCAGCTTAGCCTTCCTATCCCTCTTCCAAAAACAGTACCATCATCTCTACAGTCCCCCTCCAGTATGTTACTGATGACCCAAACCAACTGGATAACTCCGCTTTCAATCTACAAGCAGGCTCATCCTTGAGAATAAGAAAAAAAATCCCACAATATTAGACAGTCTATTGCCAGATGCAAAATAAAATCTTCCCCAATTTAAAAATGAGTTTTTATAAAACTTGATAACCTTAGCTTTAAGGAAGCTAACACACATTTCACAAATTTAATATAATTTCAGACTAAACAAAAGCAAAGAATTCATTTTACCTTAATTTAAGGAGTGGTTGGATCACCCACTTCTTTAACTTCCGTCTCCCAAATGAAGTTTTAGTGTGGTCTAAAACCCAAAATAAACTCCCTTTGGTTTTCATATCAGTCTAAGAAAGACCAGAAAACAAGTTTTATTAATTTGACAATTGACTGTGTACCAAAATTACTAGCTGTTCATGTGTTCTAATTATTCCACATACCCACATTTCAAATGGCAAATAAATTATAGTTCATAACAGGTGCCCATTTATGCTTGATTATATATATATACATGCACACACACATATATACATGTACATATTTACATAATATAAAGTGTATTGATATTTTGCACAGAAAGGAACAAAAAGACTGTAGTTTTTGGTATAGTGTATGTTCAGTTTTTGGTTAAGAATAAATTACTGAGATGTTTCTTTTAAAATACAGGTTTGTATTAAGCATTTAAAAAATATATTTGTATACTTTCCTGCCTTGGGTAATACAGTGAAGATGACTTAGTTTTCCTTTGGCAATTCAGTCATGCCCACTGCCTAAGGGTTCCCATTCTAAAGCCTGAAGTTCTAATGATAACCCTAAACAAGAATTAGAGATAATGTATCTGCAGTGCACTCTAACAGTTTACCCTGGAAGTTTCACTTTAACTTTTTTATTAAATTCTAGTAAAGGTTTGTATAATTATGTTTTGTTACTTGAAAGTTGAATCATTAAAAAAATGGCAATTAATTTCAACCAAGACTTCATTGTATTACAAAAAATCTGTTAATAGATTTAGATCTTATATGGGAGATAAAATTGCAGTCTTCACCTGAATTTTTTAGCTTTTTTCTTTTCCTTCAAACCAACAAGTAGGTTTTTACCTAACACCTATGTGCTCAGCTGTATGACTGTCAAAGATTTAGTAAGACATGGCCCCTCCCTCAGGATACTTACATCCAAATAGGGAAGAAGAGACTAATAATTAGGAACAAAATGCCACCTGGTAGAAATCATACATAGAAGGTGTGATATAAGTTCCCCAGGCTCTAGTTCAAAGCAAAGTGCACACAGAAGCTGCATGGTCACAGAAGGCTCCTCTGAGGATACAATGGACAAGCAGAACACACCAACAAGCTAGGGCAGCTCAGATCTATAGCAAAACCATCTATTCAGAGACAAGAGCCTAAAACTTGATTCATAAGGGTCCAACGAAGGGGAATCATTATCCAATTACCTGGCATCCTTGAAGATGCAGGCCCACACAAGAGAGGGAAAGGTGGGGAAGACTAAGTCCTATATACGTTTGCTTTCCCTGACACCCATTACTCCTGATACCCATTTACTCCCTAACACCCTCCTCATTACTCCTTTCCATTACTCCATGTAAGGGAGGCCAAAGATGATAGGTAAATAAAAGCAAAAGATGTTAACTCTTAGCTTCTTTTTCTTACAAGGGCCCAAGCTCTGATAATGAAAAGAATTTTAAAGGGTACACTTTTGTTACATATGATTTTTGTCTTAGGGATTTGCTTTCAGAACTGACTCCCCCATAGCAGCATTTGAGCTGGGAGTATGTGGCAGAAGTAAGGAAAACTTAGAAGGCCAGCACTGTGCCTGCAGGCCCTGCAAGTTCATCATTATCCAAGAAAAGTCATTTTAACTCTACTCCTTATTTTCTAATACATGGATATGTAGAGGGAAAACAAGAAACACTTGTAAGAAAGATTCTCAGGGCCTCTCCGGTGGCTCAGTGGGTGAGCACTGCGCTGTGAAGCCGTCTGCAGCCTCTGCAGTGCCAGTTCAATTCCCGGCCACGAGGGAGAAACCCACATGGCGTGGCAGACTTCTCCTGCCTCACCCGCTGCTCCCCTCAGCAGTGTCTTCGGTCCGTCTGCCTGTTCTGCTCCCCACTCTCTCTGGTGAATTCTCACCCTCCCGCGCCTCTTACCTGTACCCCAGTTCTTATATAAATAAATCTTTTTTTAAAAAAAAGAAAAAAAAGAAAGATTCTCAACTTATGGATTATAGAACAACAGGATAAAAATGCTACTGAATGAAAGTAAGACTAACTATAGTATAAAAGGATAGCCTGGGAGAAGGAGAAGAGAAACAAGTTGATAATACACAAATTGAGGAGTCAGGAAAATTAAATGTGTTCACTTTCATTCACAAATGTAATAAATATTTCTGAAAAGTTTTAGACTATTTAACTCAGTTTAGCCTTTCCATTACTAAAATGACTTGGAAATGCTTTTCATTTCTATGATATTATGTTACAGTAACATTAGTTTTACAACATACTATTCCCCATTTTCTAAATGAAGGCAAACATTTTAATGTTTTCATCACCTTCCTATTCTTCAATAAAGGGCAAATAAAATGATGAAAGTTTGTGAAGTGAATATTACGCTACAGTAAAACTGAATTATGACATAACTTGCTTTATATACTGAATAATGAAATTAGACTGCAGACGTTTCAACAAAAAAGTTAAAGGTAGGCAGAAAAATATGTAACCAAGCAGACATATAAGATCTGTTTCATATTAATTTTTGAAGATTATGCCTTTTTAAAGAAATATTTGATAAAAGAAATTTTCAGGATAGGCAAATCACTTCAATCATTAAAAAGTTTAGTTTCTATGGTTCCCAAAATATTCCCCATTTGGAAAGAGTTTATAGATTTTACTCTCAAAAAAGTGAGTGCTCCAGTTATCAATAAATTGGTAATAGGCAGAGCCATCATATAAAATATTATTTTCACCTGCATATCTAAGAATACTTACCTTATTTCAATTTTTTTTTTTCAAAACCATTTTGTACCAGCTAGCCTTTATGTTTACCTGACCTGATTCTGAAGGATTTCCAGATTCTTTAATGTTGTTCCATTAACTGTCATAAATTCCATTTCCCCTGACAACTGTTTAAAATTTCTGTAAGAGAATGAAATATGAACCATGATATTAAGTGTGTGTATATATGTATTTTTTTAATTTAAGCACTAGAAATATTCAAATAACATTCAAATAACTATCAAAAGCTAGTCTGTAAAAAAAAATCAAACCAAAAGGAGCAAAAGGAATAGTCACTAGGCTATTATATCCTTTGGTGCTGGTGCTGTTAGACAGACAGATGTGGAAGAAGGATAGCTGCTTGCACACCAAAAACAAGAAAAAGGAAGGGAAGTAATGGTAACAATTTCTTTTTTCTTTTTTTAGTTTCTAGAAATAGAAGCAAACATTGGCAAATCAAGTGGTGGTATCTTTAGGAAAGCTATGCAATTAGCTAGAAAAACACGTTCAGATACTTAAAAATGTCCTCCTTGTTCTTCTGCATGAGATACTTTCGCATGATAGAGACTTCAAAGCTTTTGAACAAATTACTCTATAATTAACAACACATTAATGAAGCTAATGTTTTGGTAGAGTATAAAACTGAAAAAGTAGCAGAAATTATTCCCTTAAAGCTCAAAAAACTCACATTCTCCTTATATCCCTGTAACTATCCCAAACTAGAATAAATGTTCAATAAATTTCAAATAGATATGAGCACTGAATTGCATCATGATTGACAAATGTATGTAAAATATCAATTTTGTGATTATTAGCCTTTCATTAATAAGTATATTAATCAATGCATCCAATTCATTAATTGTAATGCATACAAATAAATTTATACAGTAATTCAATTTTCTTTATAAGCCAGTTCTTAGGATTTATATTAACAGCATTTACAGACGATGGCTTATTTTTTAAAGGCAAGAAAAATAATGACAAGTCACTAAGCTACTTGGAGGGAAAGCACGAGTGTTTGCATTATAAACCTGGTCACACTTAGCATGGCAGTAATAAATTTTAAATAAAATACAGTTTCCTGTGATAGTTATGGAAACAAGCTCTCATCTAGGAATCTAGAGGCAAATATCAGAGCCAGTGCTCAATGAGGGATGCCTTTACTTCTCCAACCAAAAGCTCCAACCAAAGCTCCAGAACCCTAAAAAAGGAATAACTTACTGCATATATTAAGATCACTGCCTAGAAGTTAAACACTGTCACTTGGCAGTGTAGTTTATCTGCCAAAGATTTGACCTAGCTTCCACAGAATAACTTGTTAATGATTTTCAAGGGAAAGCAATTCCAACTGTATTATAGCAGATATGGGTAGCCCCTTCTCCTCTTTTAGCAATTAATGTAATTTGCTTTGCATTACAGCAATTTATGTTCTTCTGCTACTCTCTTTAATAGAGCTCAGCTCCTTAGAGGCAATGGCTATTTGTAGCTCATAGATTTTGCAGCATCTACAGATCTAGCATAAAGTAGATGTTCAGTAAATGTCTGCCATCTTCCTAGGATGAAGCCAGTTTGGGCTTGTTTGTTTTTTTTGGATCATAAAGCTTAGAAAGGTCAGTGAAACACTCAAGGCAATAATAAAATACAAAACAGTATTTGCAGGAAGAAACAACTGGCTACTGGAAAGGAACTCATAGTTTCATGGTAAAAGATACAAGCTGGAAGGGCTGATAGCTTGGACTCTCAGTTGATATTTAACCAGTTTTCATGTGCTTGTATCTAACTCACCTACTTCCCCTGTTTTTGAGAGATTTAACCTACACAATTAACACTTGAGCACTTTCATCAGATACAAACTTTAAAGTGTTACTTAGCTGACATGAGAGAAAAAATAATCAAGAGCCCACAATCCAGCAGTCTTTCCTAAGAAATCATCTCAGCTATCTATTTTTACTCCTCATAACAAACAGAAGAACAAGAAAAATAACTGGCATTTAAGATGTGTGGACTGCCTAGAAATATCACTCAGCTGCCTTCACCTTCACAAGAATTTGTAAACCCAACAGTCCAGCCCTGGAAGAACGGTGCCTTACGTTTAGGAATCTGAAAGTAACCCCAGTTCCACCAATTGCCTGAGGGTTTCATCACCTAACTCCAACTAAAAGAGAAATTCTGCTCTTTACCATGCCTCAAGTGAACACCTAAAGCAAAGCACTGTTAGAAGAGCAAAAAGACTGAGCTGGAATTTTGTGGCATTTATAAACTATAGAAAGAAAGGTGAGAAAATGTTCTCACTACCTTTTTTTGTTCCACTGGTTTTGAAACCAGTCATTTGCTAGAAGGTCAGTTGCCAGCTTTTAAATCTCTGAACTCTATAAAGTTAATCGCTCTTTTAAAAATCTGTCTATATTAATAGCTATCCACTTTTTCTCCAACTTTTTATGGTCTATAAGAAATGAAACTAAGAATAAGAAAGGCAGTGAACTTTTATGCATTCTCTTTAATACTACTTCCTAATTCCACTTCTAAATACTACTTGCTAATTAACTGTACTGTAGTCAAAACTGTAATACATTAGTTATCACGAACACAAACTGAGAGAATTCTTAAGGATTATATCAATACTTTATATCACATATTAAGAATAATTTTAATATTCTTCAGCAACAATACCACATAGTTCATGCTTGCCTCTGAATAGGCTAGTCTATCAATAGTAGGTACATTTCTGAATACAGTTCTTATCAAAATCAATTTAAGAAATATTTTCAGTATAACTGTGCTTCTTTTCTAATATTTAAGAAATCACTTACTTGGGTTTGGAAAGCATCTTTTCCAAGTTAAATTCTTTGAGGTATCTTATTAAGGCAGCCAAAGAGCAAATAACAGGTTTCTCCAAGTTAATGATACCAGAAAAACTTTGAGATGCTAAAAATCAGAATATATACTTTCATTAAAATTATTCACCATCACTGAATACAAAATTTAAGTTAAATAAAATGTATTTTATGATTATTGAAATATTAGACAATACCTCCTAAAACTGCCTTTTGAAAGAATGTAGAAGATTATGAATACCTAGGGCATGGACAAAAGCACATTTTCTGATGGTGAAATGACTCTTTTTTGGAGAGCAGTGACACAGCTTTTAAAAATGTAAAATGCTCATCAACCTTGACCCAAAAATACTCCAAAATGTAAGGTAAAGATGTACATGCAAGAAAGTGAGTTGAAAAATCTTTTGTAATAAATTAAAAAAAAAAAAAAAACTACAGAAAACCTAACTGAGCATCAACAGGGTATTAGCAAAATAAATTTGGTAAGTCCAGATTATTACACAACTACCAGGAGGAATGACTATCAATTATCTGTACTGATATGGAAAACTTGATAAAATATAGAATGTATAATCATTCTCTTCTCTCACAAGGAATATTATAAGAGCTTTCCATCTGGTCTCCTAGCTTTAGCCTTGTGCGGTATAGTGTAATGTTAACAGACAGCCAAAGGAATCCTTTTTAAAATATAATTCAGATCATTTCAATACTTTGCTTAAAATACTCCAACTTGCTGAAAAAAAAGCTGAAGTCCTTCCACTATTGACATCTCCTCTTCATCTCTGAGTTCACTTCCTAATATTCTCCCCCTTAGTTACTTTGTTCCAGTGCACAGCTCCTTGCTATTTCTTAAACATGCCAGGCACTTAAGATACCTTTTAAAAAATATTTATTTATTTATTTATGCATACAAGAACTGGGGTACAGGCCAGAGATAGGGGAGAGGGGTGAGAGGATTCACAGGAGATAGAGTGGGGAACAGAACAGGCAGATTGACTGAAAGACACTGCTGAGGGGAGCAGCGGGCGAGACAGGAGAGGTCTGCTACGCCATGTGGGTAGCTCCCTGGTCGGGGATCGAACTCCCGCTGCAGTAGCTGCAGATTGCTTCACAGGTTGCATCTTTTTTTTTTTTTTTTTTTTTTTTTTATAGAGGCATGTTTTATTTATTTATTTGTTTGTTTGTTTGTTTTTTCATTTTTTTATACATGCACTGGGTACAGTCAGAAGCGCGGGAGAGTGAGAGAATTCACCAGAGCCAGAGCGGGGAGCAGAGCAGGCAGAAGGACGGAAGTACACTGCTGAGGGGAGCAGCGGGCGGCAGGAGAGGTCTGCGCGCCATGTGGGACCCTCGCCTGGCGGCCGGGGATTGAACCTGCGCTGCAGAGGCCGAGGGCAGCTTCGCAACCCAGCGCTCACACAGGTTGCATCTTAACCCCTTGCGCCACCAGGGAGGCCCCACTTAAGATAATTTATTCTATTGACTCTGCCTATAACACTGTTCTTTCACAAGTCTGTGTGACTTTCCCTCTTAACTACTTCAATTTTTGTTGAAATCTTTGTTCAAGTAAAGGCCTTCCTTTGCCACCCTATTTAAAATTCACCCTATTCCCTGCCTTGTTTTTTTCACAGCACTTACTACCTTCAAATGCACTCATTTCATTGTACTTCTCCGCCTATTAGAGGGTAAGCTCCAGAAAGGAGGAACTGTGTTTTATTCCTTATTGTATGTGCAATGCCTCACACTTAATAAATACTCAGTAAAAATTACTTAAAGGAATAAATCAAAGTTACATTAAACAAACAGAATTACATTTGTATGGTTGTTATGTACGTGTGGACTTGTATATAAAGAATTCTTAAGGATATATATCAACTGGTAATGGTTACCTTTCAGAGTTAAGGTGGAAAGAGCAGGGAGCAAGTTTGAGGGGAGGGGACAGACTTCTACTTTTTTGTCCATACTCACCTATGCTTTTTTACATTTTTACAATAAGCATATATTACTATTAAAAAGAAGACTCCAAAATATGATCTACAGGGCCTCCCCGGTGGCGCAGCGGTTGAGCGCTGGGTTGCGAAGCTGCCCGTGGCCTCTGCGGCACCGGTTCGATCCCCGGCTGCTCCCCGGCCACCGGAGGAGGGTCCCACATGGTGCGTAGACCTCTCCTGCCACCCGCTGCTCCCCTCAGCAGTGTACTTCGGTCCTTCTGCCTGCTCTGCTTCCCACTCTGGCTCTGGTGAATTCTTTCACCCTCCCGCGCTTCTGACTGTACCCAGTGCTTGTATAAACAAAACAAACAAACAAATAAATAAATGAATAAAATACATGCCTCTTAAAACAAAACAAAACAAAACAAAATATGATCTACAATCAGTAATACAAAGTATCTTAATTTTAACTAGCTTTTTTAATAAAACCAAGGTATAAAGAGTTAACAAAAAACTTTCCACCTCTAGTGAGAATCTCATCTTTTAAATTTCTTACTCTGTTCCCCAGGAAACCTGGTCAGCTGAAGAGCCAATGTGTTACTATGGTAGCACTGTAAAATTTTAAAAATGACCTGATATCAGTATATCATGAGAACTGGGAAAAATGATAAATACCTGACTCCAGAATTTTGGCATCCCCGGAGTATTCTACCAGTACAGTGAATTCTTGTAGAAATCTCAGCAAGAAACATGGGTTCCTGAAGGGACCTGGGGCTTCTAAGCCAGGGTAGGTCCTGAACTCACCTGATCAGAATCTCCTTTCTTTGCAGCTAAATTGTCACTAGGGGAGGAGAAACATACTCCCAAAGGCTCTGCAGACTGCTACAATGTCTGCTGTGAGGCTTCTTCCTAACAACATGTGCCCTGAAACTGGGTTCTCTGTCCCATGTCCTTCTAAGCGAATCTGATGCCAAGAGTGGCTTATGATAGCCTTGTGACTTAGTATTCAGGTGAGCTACAGATGACAATCCCCTGATGATACAGCAAGACTGGTGTCAGAAATGAATTATTGTCACAGACTTCTTTCAATTTGGTAAAACAACCATGATATAAAAGATATGGAGAGAGAAATGTTAATAAGACAATAATGCCTGGAAGGTAGAGTAGAGCCAGGGAAGGAACCATTAAATCTGTGGTTTAATGATAAAAGCTCTATATCATGTGATAAAGGATAAAAATGGACCTTAACATAGCTGGACTGTCAAGAATGGAGCATACAACAGCAAAAGAGACAATAACAAAAACAAAGAGAAACCCCACCAACTGGGAGAACATTTTTGCATCCAACACTAATGATAAAGGACTGATCACAAAAATCTGCAAAGAGCTGATGAGACTCAATAACAACAAAGAAAATAACCCAGTCAAAAAATGGGCAGAAGAGCTAAAAAGAAACTTCTCTGAAGAGGAAATGCAAATGGCCAACAGACATATGAAAAAATGTTCAACATCACTTGTAATCAGGGAAATGCAAATCAAAACTACCATGAGATACCATCTTACACCAGTGAGAATGGCACATATTAAAAAAACTAGCAACAACAAATGTTGGCGAGGGTGTGGAGAAAAAGGAACTCTTCTGCACTGTTGGTGGGAGTGCAAACTGGTCCAACCACTATGGAGAGCTGTGTGGAGATTTCTGGACCTACTAAACATAGAGCTTCCATATGATCCAGCAATTCCACTCCTAGGTATTTACCCAAAGGACACAGAAACATCAATTCCAAAGAACACCTGCACCCCTATGTTTATAGCAGCTCTATTTACAATAGCTAAGCTTTGGAAACAGCCCAAATGCCCAAAAATAGATGACTGGATCAAGAAGATGTGGTACATATATGCTGTGGAATATTACTCAGCATTCAAAAAAAATAAACACATGCAATTTGCAGCAACATGGATGGCGCTGGAAGGGATCATGCTCAGTGAAATAAGCCAAAAAGAAAAAGAAAAATACCGGATGGTCTCACTCATAGCAGGAATCTAGAAAACTTAAATAAGGGATCAGGAAAATGAATAACTATAAGAAAGTGAAAATCAAAATCAACAAAAAACTATGAACCAGAGACACTTTTTGGGGGGTGGGGGCCGGGAGGGGAGGGATTGGGGTCAGAATGGGGCATGTGCAGTTGTATGGGGGAATATAAAAATAAAATTTATTATCTAAATAAATAAATAAATAAATAAATAAAAAGAATGGAGCATACAGACCAAATCAAATACAGTTACCTGGGGGCCTCCCCTGGTGGCGCAGCAGTTGAGCACTGGGCTGTGAAGCTGCCCGCAGCCTCTGCAGCACCGATTCGATCCCCGGCCAATGGAGAGCATCCCACAAGGCGCAACAGACCGCTCCTGGCACGCCCGCTGCTCCCCTCAGCAGTGTGTTTCGTCAGTCTGCCTGTTCTGTTCCCCGTTTGGGCTCTGGTGAATTCTCTCACCCTCCCACACTTTGACTGTACCCAGTGCTTGTATAAATAAATAAATAAATCTTTAAAAAAAAAAAAAAGTACAGATACCTGGCTGAGGAAATGTGAATTAGACAAATAATGGCTCCCTAATATATTAAGACCCTTTCACTAATACTATGGCATTTAAGTTCAGGCAATCAATCATTGAAGTGCTAGTATTCATCAGGACATTTATCCAAACACACTATAAAACTGCAAAGAAAATAATGGACCATCTTTAAAAAGAAGCAGAAAGGAAAGCTGGTCAGTCACTTACTCTTTTCAATCCAATGAACGTGTTAAAATATCCTGTTACTAAAAGGCCGTAAGTAAAAAGGAAGCAGTGTAGTGGTGTTTTTGATGAACACAAGAATAATGAGCTCTTCCCTCTATTTCTTTAGTTATTAAGTAATAAGCTAGTTTCCATTTAATTCAAAGTCAAACTTAACACCTTTATCCAAATCTCAACTAGTTAAGTACACATGGCTAACATGTATAAAACATTTACCTTTGATGTCAACTACATCTTTCGCGTAAAACTCTGTAACCACTTGGAATGCATGACTGTATTCAAAATGTGTGTTATCCATTCTTTCTACTCGAATTCTGTCATCCCGCACACTGAAAGAAAAAAGTGAGATTTCAAACATAACTATCCATAATCTTAAACTAGTTGTATTTAGGCCTTGTCTTGATCAAAATTAACAATAAATAAACACTTATTCCTTATTTTTCTCCTAAAATGAAGAAAAATATAGACCTGTTTTGCTGTCAAAAGGTGCATTTCACAGAATGAAATTAAGAATTATAATTTTTACTACTGGCATTTAATATCCCCTAGCACATTGTGAGTACTTTACATGTGTATTAGCAAGAATTCAAAGAAATTATGGTCAATTACTTTAACAAATAATAACGGGAGAAAAATGGAAAGGAATCAGTGCCTACTAAAAAATATTATACAATTTATGAAGTAGTTTTGTTCTCTCTTCTCCAAAACAACAAACCCTCTGAATGTATTTAAGCTTCTCAACACAACTCAATTCAACCAATTTACAGAAAATAAAGAGGACCATGTTAAACTCTATAGAAATGTGATGATCAAGGTCCAGGCCAGGAAAAATAATTTAATTTTTTCAACAAATATAGGTGTGTGTGTTGGGGGTGGGGGGAGGTGGAGAGGGAAGCTGTATATAAACAGGCTTTCTTTAAAGGGGATATTTTTAAAAGAAATTGGTAAAATTAAACTATAAGGATGCACACTTGGGTGACAAAGCTACAAAGTAAATAATTACAATGCTAGTGGTTTCAGGGACCTTTCTCTATATTTTTATGTTATATTGTTTCCCATATTTGCATTATATCAATTTTTTTGAAATAAAACATAAAGGATTCCACTATTACCTAAAATTGACATACTCCTGAAACCATTTTTTGCTTTATACTTTAATCAAGAGTTCATTTTATTCCATAAGCAGCTACCAATGTTCCATCATCATTCTGAATTTAAAAGTATTTTGTTGTCAAATACATTTGGAAGTACTAACCTAGTAATACGACTAGCTTACAAGGAATATTTTTATGTGGTGTTTCATGGTGAGAATGAGCTTTTCTTTCTCTTGTACACATCAACAGAAAATGAGAAAGGTTGAAAAGTAACTGAAAAACAGAGTCAGACAAAAATGATTAATAAATTTTCTAAAAACTGGGTATAACTCACACGGCCATCTGAAATTTAGTAATATCTATGCCTTGAGATTGTAAATGGCCTGGAGTAGGAAGATAACACAAACCAGTTAGAAAAAACTGAAATGAGTTACAAATACAGCAGTGTACTTTTATATTAATTAAAAGATTGCTCTGAGTATTCTTTGAAAAAACTAAAAACTTCCTTCTTATATAGCTAAGTCTTCTATAGTTCCTAAACTAACCCACAGGTTTTAACACCTGGCTCTAATCTTATTCCACACATTTCCCTACACCAAAAATATCTAATTTACTCAAGTTTCATTCATATGAAAATTTATAAATATCCTTTTGAGTTTTCTGTTTCTTATGAAAAATTGTACCAAACAAATAGTAAGGTTCTTATATAGTACATCAAAAGAAAGAATGAATCTTACCTATCTTTAATTTGTATTTTCTATTGATTCTTAAACATTTTAAGTTAAATATAAAGAAAAATATCCTCATCCCCCCCCAAAATATATAACAATATGACCTATTAAGATAAACGTGCCATACTTCTACCTCTAGCTTCAATGAAGTTGCTTGATTCAGACCATCACTCCCATCAAGAATGAGAAAAGTCAGTTTAAGTATGAAAAATACCTGAGGAGGTCAGAAATTAAGGGCCCAAGATACCACAAAGAAGAGCACTGAAAAGATGAAAGCCAACACTCTGCTCTGCTTTTCCTCTGTGGACATCTGATCATCTCTTCTCTGATGATCTTCAGAGGAAGAAACTGAGGATCTGGGCAGAAAGCCAATGCTAAGATATAGAGGAGGCAGCAGAATAATAAGTAATTTTTTGCAATGGAAGGAGGACTGCCAAAATCCAGATAAGATCTACATGGTAAGGAAAGCACAGAACAGTAAATTCAGCTATCAGTGGTTGTGACCTCTAGATTATTTGTCAGAACTTAAAGCTCCACAGGACATACCAGTGGAGAGAAGGGAAAGTTTGAAGTCAGCCTAGAGTGCACTCCCTGCTTTGGGAAGGGCACATGGAGTTATGGCTTCTGGAAGACTATCCCCCAAAGGAAAGGGTACTTGATTTTCACGAGTCAAAGACATACAGAAAGGGCTGCCAGATTTGCAAAGTTAAGTCTCCCGTTCTCAATTCACTGAGTAAATGCTATGAAAAAGACTTCCATGAGAAAAAAACTATCACATGGATTTATTATTTACAATGGAAAGATAATTGACTTAGTTCTTATTTAGTTCTGCTAATATAACAAATTAGAATAGTGGTTTAGAAACAAAGAAAGAATATTTGATTTAAGGAAATATGGTGATATAAGGGAATTTATATTTTTTAGAGTGGAAGTATGAAGAATTCTGAAAATTACTTTTTTTCACAGGCTTATTTAGGTGTGAAAATAAACATTACAAGTAGAAAGTATCACTAATGGATTCCAAGTAAATAAAAAGCTAAAATAAATTTAGTGAATTGATAAGAATTTTCCAATGCAAATACCAAGAGAGAGAAAAGATTACATACTAGTTTGTTTAAATAATATGGTTAAAACAACTTTTTAAAAATTTATTAAATTATATAAAAAAGAAAAAAGACTTCAAGAGCTGTTCTGGGTTGCATGAGACTTACTCAGGAGACATCTGTAATTACTGGAATCTGTATGTGAAAAAATGGGAGAAATTGCCAGCAGGATTTAAAAAAACAAAAAGAAAAACCAGAATAAAGTGGGAGATTCAGGGCAAGATCCAATCTAAGGACAACACTGAAATCAAAGAAAGTGAAAACTCTACCTATAAACAGGATAAAAAGCACCTAGGTAGTAAATTGCAGTAGAAATTTAAATGTCACAATTTAGATACAGAGATGGCTTCTGGCCCAAACAGAACACTAGTTTTCCCCCTTTTTAGATCTCACATACTGGAAAAAACAAAATCTACTGTGGGATTATCCGTAAAGTCTGTTTAGGGGGAGTCCTCATCAACATGCATCCATTCAAGCCTTACGGCAGCAACAAAGAAGCAACAGCTGAGAAGTGAGAGGTGCAGGGGCAGGAACCTCTCTGCACATCCCCAGTCAGAAGTTGTGACAGACTTTACAGAAGGGGAAGAAACATGATTTGCATTTTGGAAAGAAAACAAATCATCAAAATGACCCTAGTTTTAACTTGGACACCTGCTACTCTGCCAGAAGACAGTTTCTAGAATAATTTTGAATGAGTTACTTTTCCTACAGTTCTACAAACTCTGAAGCCAATGTCTAGTTTACTAAAAGAAAGAAGTATACATAATATTTTAAGATGCTATTTCACAGGAAAGCTGAATGCTGCTATAAAGGGCCCTTAGGTCTTTATTTTTTTAATCCCCTTCTAATGAATGAAACTTTAGAGGGCAGAGATGGGATTTGTTGTATAATAATAAACATAGGTAGTTTTAGTTTTTCTATATTGAGTAGCAGCAGTCAGGCACTTTCTAATATGGCTGGATACATTTGTTAACGTTTGTTAAAATAAAACTGTCATAATTTAGTAATAAGGACTTGCCCCTAGAGATAACAGTTAATAATTCTGAAATAACTGAGGTCTTACCAAGATTCTGATGATTCAAACCTATACTGCTGAATATTAAGCAGGACAGGATAAGTTCTCTGGTACAAATACCTTGAAGAAATAATTTCTAAATATACAGAAAGGTAATTTAACTGTATATGTTGCATCTTGTGTCACCTCCCTCTATACTGATATTTGATGAAGACTTTAATGTTTATGAAACTTCTAAAGCAGAATCAAAGTTCCTATTTGAAGAAATGTGAAGTCTTTGAGAAATGTGAAGTCTTTAGAATTGGCATTCCTATATGAGTAGTGCCAAAGCACTTCACATGGCAGAGAATGTACACTATTAGAAATAAAATTACCTAAGAAAAAATTAACAAAGCTGCACAGAACAAAAAGCTAAGTAGAAAGAAGAAAACAAACAAAAGAGAGCAGTGTAAGTTATCATCTTAACAGAATAAAAGAAAAATCGTATGATCATCTCAATAGATACAGAAAAAACAGTTGATGAAAATCAATACCATTCAAGATTTTAAAACTCCCAAAAACAATGAAAAAAAGTAAATTTTCTTATTCAGATGAAGACTATAGAAAAACCAATTAAGAACTAGAGAAAGACAACCTTAAAAGCAAATCCTTGAAAACTGACTAAAGAACTGAAGTATCCAAAGGATAAAGGGGTTTGGGGGAGAAGCAGGAACAAAGAGCAAAGGAAACACAGTGCTCTATGTTAATGGGACTATGGGTGATTTAGTGACAGGTACCCTATGGTGGCAATGCCTGATAGGGGGAATCCTAATGTTATCACAATTAAAAGAATAAATTATTTTTTAAAATTTTAAAAATAAAACTAAGAACTTAAATTTCTTTTAAATTTGTATCAGAAATAAATCATACAGAAGAAATCTCCCTTGAATTTACTGAAGAATTTTCACTAAGGAAGTAAATATAAAAGCAGTTGAAAAGCAGGTATAGACTGGGAAAACAATTAGTATTTTTCATTACTCACATGATTCTGAAAAAACAGTCTGCATAATACATCTAAATACTGATAGGAATCCTAGAGATTTTTAGGGAAGGTAATAGATAATCAAATAACAGAATACTTAGAAGATATTTATGGAGTACCTATGTTCTACCTCATCTATCCCTGCACAGATGAGACAAAGAGACAAAGCAAAGAACAGAAACACTGCACTTTCTTTTTCTTATTCTTTCAAAGGCTCCCCATTCCTAACTATAAAAATATTCCCACATAGGAGAGAAAGGAACTCTCCTGCACTGCTGGTGGCAGTGCAAACTGGTCCAACCACTATGGAAAGCTGTGTGGAGATTCCTCAACCTACTAAAGATAGAGCTTCCATATGATACAGC